AGAACCGTTTGGGATAAGGAAACCTCCCAGGTACTGTCAGTCCTGACTACAGGTATCCCTCTCTGCAGGCTCCCCCCCACCGAGGATGGGAACTCTGGGATAAAAACATTGCACCTGCACCAATCCCACGTCCACTGTATCTTCCTGTCATTGTTCCCTCTATAATACCATGTAACCACTACTTTCCCAGCCCTGACGTTGCAGTAAGTACTACGAGTAATGCAGAGATGAGTTAGGATCCGTGGGAGGTATGCGTGCAAGGCTGTGCCATTCTATAGAAGTGGCTTAGCAGCCATGGGTGTTGGAATCTGGGTGGCCGGCCAGCCCTGGGACCAGTCCCTACTGCTGCTGAGGGGTGGGTACTCTGTCTACCCCAGGGCACCTGTGATACTGGCCCTCAGGGAGAGGAGTGCCTCTCTGATCAGTGCTCTGCCAAGTGGCTCACTGGCAGCTGCAGGCTCCCACGTCTGCATCACCTCTGCCCTGTGGGGCTCCTGCACAGACCCGGCCCTTACCCGCGCTCCTCACCTGCAGAGTGGTGCTCTGGTCCGAGAAAGGCGAGCTGAAGAAGGTGGTCACGATGCTCATCACGATCTCCGTGACGTACTTCTCGAGGATGGAGTCCGCGTGCTTCCTGTCACTTGTGTTGTTGCAGGCCTGGAAGATGAGCAGGCGCTTAGAGTGGACCCTAGACCTACCAAAGGCCTTTCCCACTGCCCACCCACGACAAGGGCAAGGGCAAGGGCAGAGGTACTCATCCCTCTAAGAGATCACAACAATACAAAGTAAGTTCTGCAGAGTGGAAAAGGAAGGTAGCAGGGTGCAGAATCACAGAATGTTCAGAGTGGGAAGGGGCTGCAAGGCCATCGTCAGTCACTTCCTAGATGTGCCCAGGGAGCCTAAGACCCCCAGGAGCAGGAGGCAGCAGGGGATCCCCCAGAGTCTCCATGGCCCCCATAGGTGAACTGCTCTCCTGAGAAAGGCCTTCAGCTAGGGTAGGCCAGACTGTTCCCGCCTGGGGTCACCATGGGGCTCTGGTCCCACCATATTGTTTTATTTTATTAGAGTTTTACTGAAATTCACTGTTCAAAACAGTGGGCCCTGGGGGCTAGGCTGTGGCTCTGTCATAGAGGGTTTGCCTAGCACGTGTGAGGCACGGGTTCGATTCTCAGCACCACATGACTATAAATAAATAAAGGAAAGGCATTGTGTTCATTGGAAACTAAAAAAATATTAAAAACAAAAACCCGTGTGCCACAGGTCAGCACCACTGACCACGTGGGTTTCAGGGTGAGTAGACACCTGAGGTTTCCCCTGTAGCCTACTTAAATTTTGCTGCTTAGAGTAAGATTAGCCATTTATAGGACTGGAGACTACGTCTGATTATTGGATTTATTAGTCCTATAATTTCAGATATAGCATTGGTTAGAATTTTAAAATAATGGATTTAAAAAAATCAAGCTTCATTCTCAGACGGTCATGCTGTAATCTGAACACGAGGCGGTGTCAGAACCCATTTGTCGAATCAGGTAAAGAAATGGTTTTACAGCGTTTCTCAACAATTTAATGGAGGGCTCCGCAGATCGAGGACCAGTTGCCGTCTGTATAAATGAGGTTCATTGGAACACCAGCCACCCCCCTGGTTCTCAGGACACGGACACAACTCACAAGGCTGACTGGCCTTTCATAGAAGAGCTAAAAGGCCTGGTTTAAAGAAACCCAGGAGACCCCCAAGTCTAAGCCGGAACCTTGGACTGGTGGGATTCAGACTGGGAGATATTGAGAATAAATACTAAGCTCATTGTCAAAACCACATAAGTGTCCTGAGGTCCACCCTGCCTCTGGGTCAGGAAGGCCAGAGACAGGTGACGGGCTCTGCGGGACCCTCAACACCAGACTGGGCTCAAGTTCAGGGAGGTGTCCCCAAGCACAGATGGATGATCAAAAAAGGGCTTCATCTTCATGTGACCCAGGCCATCATCACAAACCCAGCTGTGAGGGGGAGGGCAACCTGTCCTTCCGGAGGTTGACCACTCACATCCATACTCAGTTAAAAGGACAGGAAGGAAGGAGACGTGAGAGAAGAGCAGCAGGCACCTCTTCCCCACAAATGTCTGCACAGGGCTGTGGCCAGCGGGACACACCCTCACCACCCTCCCTCCTGGGTTCCAGAAAGACTCACCCTGCAGATGTCCACGAGGAAGTTCTCAAACAGCTTCCACATGTGGTTGCTGGTGTAGATCTCCTTCATCTCTACCTCCGTGTCCACGTAGCAGTGGTTGAGGAAGTTAATGTAGGCGATTTTAACCTGTAGGCAGAAACACACCTCTGGGGGACCGTCCTGGGGACGGAGGGAATCAGCTTCCAAGTGAGGAGCCGGGGACAGGATCCATCCATTTTCTTAGACCCTCAGTGTATGATTATAAAATTCAAAAGCACAAGTTTTAGGAAGCGAGGTTGTTCATGACCTCCAGGTAAAGACCCATGCAGACACCTCGACCACAGGAGGGCGGCAAATTTGACCACATTAAAATTAAGAACTTCTCATTGAGATTGAAATGGAGTCAATTATGTCATGTGCACTGATGAATATGTCAAAATGAACCCACTTATCATGTATCGTTATAATGCACTAACAAAGACATTAAGAACGTGTGTTCATGACAAGGTACCATTGAAGAGGTGGCCTGGGTTGGGAGGTGATTGCAATGCTTGAATCAAAGAAGAAAATCTAGAGCAGCAGCTATGAGATGGACACCCCAAGAGAACAAACTCGAAAAATGTGATAGAATGTTTTCTTAAAGGAATATTATATATCTCAGGGCTGTGGTTGTAGCTCAGTGGTAGAGCACTTGCCTAGCATATGAGAGGCACTGGGTTCAATCCTCAGCACTGCATAAAAGCATATATGTATTTGACATCTAAAAACAGTAGTATAAATATCTCGTTTGCATCATATGCTACACATGATTTTAGTTTACAATATAAACTAAAAATCTATCTTTTCAAATATACAAGGAGAAGATATATACAGTGTGATCCACTTTTCTGTTACCAATATATGTGAAAAGGGAAAAAAAACAAAGAGGCCTGGGAGGATTAAATTCAAATTTTAACAGTTGGGGTGGGATTCTGGGTCATTTTGATTTTCTTACTGATTACCTGCTGTTTCTGAGTTTCTCATAATGGTCGTTCATTATTTCTATCGTGAGTTTTCATTTTAAAGGATTCCCTCCTGGACAGAGCTCAGGGACACTCATGTGACCTGTATCTCACTCCACTCCCCACCCGTGTGCAAGGTGGTGGCCCAGGGCACATCCTCTTTGCACACTGGTTGAACTAGTTCTACAGAGCTGAGGCTGTCTCCCCCTGGAAAGGGGACAGAGAGAAAGACTGACTTTCCCCGTGTTCCAATCACACCAACTTCATGCCCAAGAAGCTGCTGTCCCAGCAGAACAGTATCCTTCTGCAAAATGAGTGCAGGTCTGAACACCACCAACCGCCCACCACACCACGGCCCCAGGTGCCACGTGGAGGCAGCTGGGGAGGTCCCACTGGGCTGGGCTGGCTCACTTCGGGGATGCAGTCCTCGTGGGTGACCACACGGACGATGTCATCCAGCGGGAGCAGGGAGTTGCACTTGATCTCCGTGTACACATTCTTGCCCTCGGTGCACACGGCCAGCAGCTCCACCAGGTGGATGTGGTACATGAGAGGGCTGTTCTCGTCCATCCGGTCCCGCTCAGACCGCATCATCTGGATCAGAGTCTGGAAGGAGGCTCTGTCGTTGTAGAACACGAGCACGTCTTCTCCAGAGTTGACCAGCTGTGGAAAGGGCAGGGGTCAGGCAGCCTTATCAGATTCCATGTGCCCAGAAAGAGGCATGCTCTGTTGGCCTTTACCTTCCCAAACCCATGGAACCTGTATTCCTAGACTCGTCTGGATTTTTTATTCATTCACATAACTGACCGACTAAAATCTCCTAAATGATCCTTTTACCCCCAGGATACAGAAATACCACAGTGCTCCTAAAAAAATATTAGGGGACAAGAAGGTCTACACACCATGTACACATCAGTCAGAAAGACAGACTGCAAACTAGCACCTGTATTCCCAAACCTAATGAGGCTACGGTTTTTCTGTTTTAAATGTTTCATGTCCTTGTTTTACTGAACCAAGTATCTTTACAAGTCTTTCATCTAATGTCTTATCTCTCCGATCACCAATTATGAACTGTCAATTCAGATATGCTTTCAACATTCAAAGAGCCTGAGGACTCCTGTTCATAAACGTGCCCCTAGGACACAGTTCTTCGTAAGTCGAAGACAAGACACCGACTCAGCACGAGACGAGTTACAGAAGATCCCAGGAGTCAAAATAAAGAAGGTCAATGTTACTTAATTAACCACAGCTAACCTTCATGCTCTATGGGCCAGATATCAAGATAAACTCCTTAAATGGTGTGACAGTTTGGATGTGAGGTATCCCCCAAAAGCTCATGTGTGAGACAAGGCAAGAAAGTTCAGAGGACAAATGACTGGGTTGCGAGAGGCTTAACCTAATCAGTGCCTTAATCCACAAACAGGGATTAACTGACCTGTGCTTGTGGCTAGGTAAGATGTGGGACTTTGGGGAATATATCTTGTGAGCTTGGTCTCTCTCTCTGCTTCCTGGTGCCACGTCCTGAGCTGCTCTCCTCCACCACACCTTTCCACCGTGATGCCCTAACCTCGGGCCCCAAAGAATGGAGTCAGCCATCTATAGATTGAGACCTCTGAAACCCTGAGCCCCCAAATAAACTTTTCCTCTTCTAATTGTTCGTCAGATCTTTTAGTCTCAGCAACGAAAAAGCTGACTAAAATAGATGGATTACCTAACCTTGCTGTGCCTCCATTTCTTCATAAATAAAAATGGGAACGAATACAATCTCTAACTCAGGGTGCTGTTTTCTAGAATAAGTAGATTACTGCCTATTCCAGAATATGGCAGGCTTCTAGTAGATGTTAGCTATTATTGTCATTTTATTTCATTTAATCTACATACTGACTCTTTCAAGTGAACACCGCTGTGCATTCACTTTATGGGAATGCTCATTGAGGTGTCAAGTAACGCAACCAAATCATGCAGCTGGGACAGCGCCCCAGCCAGCTTTCCTATCCTCTCCTAAGCCCACTCTCCTAATCACACCATTCTGCTGCCACCGGAATCACAAAAGTAGACCGGATTAGAAATCCAAGCATTACCGAGTTGACTTGGTATCAGATTTTATTTTAAAGGATTCCCTTCTGGACAGACCTTTTTTCTAAGGTGAAAAGATTAAATACACTGCAGTCATGGTTCGATAGGATGATGTGAGATAGCCAGGAGTGGTGGCACACACCTGTCATCCGAGCAGCTCAGGAGGCTGAGGCAGGAGGATCATGAGTTCAAAGGCAGCCTCAGCAAATTAGTGAGGCCCTAAGCAACTCAGCGAGACCCTGTCTCTAAATAAAATACAAAAAGAGAGCTGGAGCTATGGCTCAGTGGTTAAGCACTCCTGGTACGAAAAAGAAAAAATTCAAGCTAATGATTCAGGTAACTATAGATAAAAGTCATCATCTGTGAGCAGGAAAGCTGCACTGGCTTCCAGGCCCCTAACCACATTAAAGCCCCATGCACCACGTTCTTGGTTTACTGTTCCTCTTCCTTTTCCCTCTCAGAGGAATTCAAGTCAAATGTCCTTAGAGTTAACAGCTTCACTGCAATGAAAACCTGGATCATACTCCTGCTGGGGCCCCAGACACAAAACCATACGCACACCATCACAAGCTACCCTCCCGTAGGACTCCTGCCAAGGATGCAGACCACGCAGCGAAGACCAAACCCGTTTTACATTCCTACAGATGGAGCTTCCCAGAAATGTGCGATCGTCACCTCAGCCATGACCATGTCTTGGCACTTCTTAATAAATTTCCCTTCGGCCTTGACGATCGTCTGCAGGAATTTGATGTACTGGACATTGCGGCCGTGGGTCTCGATGCAATGGACGAAGTGCTGGACCACCCTCTCATTGATCTCACTGCAGAGCTGGAAGTTGTTCATGAAGATGTGCTGCATGGTCACGGCTTCCAGGATCTGCCGCAGGGAGGGATGAGAGCATGGGGGACAGTCAGGAGGAGGCAGGCACAGGTCAGTGAGAACAGTCAGAGGGAGGCCTATGACCCCCAGGGAGGCTTCCTGTTCCACTGTCTCACCCTGTGCTTTTTCATTTTTTTTTTCTTTTTTTGTACGAGGGATTGAACCCAGTGGCACTTAACCACTGAGCCACACCCCCAGAGCCCCCACCTTTTTTTTTTTCTGGTGACAGGGTCTCACTGAGTTACTTAGGGCCTTGCTAAGTTGCTGAGGCTGGCTTTTGGCTTGGAACTAATGATCCTCCTGCCTCAGCCTCCCAAGTCAATGGGATTACAGGTGTGCACCATCGTACCTGGTTATCTCAACTTTTCCTAAGATAAGTGCACAGAAAAATGAACCACCCAAGAGCATCCACCTCAATGGACGACAGAAACAGGCCTTCTCCACACCCATCCCATGATCTGACTACCACACATTTGTTTTGGGTTCATACCCAAAAGTAGAATTCAAGTCACAGGATATGAATATGTTTGTGTTTAGAGGGTTTGAAAAAGGTATTTCCTGTCTACGCTCTACAATACTGCTACTCCACATTCCTGTGGGTGCTCAGTATCAGACTTTTAAATTGTAGTCTTTTCTTACAGCGCACACAGATGCATCAGATAAATTTGCATTTGATGACTCAACTCATGATACGGAGCATGCTGTCCTATCTATTGGCCATTTCAACATTCTCTACTAACAAGGCCCTGTTTGAGAGCTTTGCCAGTCTTTACAAGTGGGTTGTCTATTTTTTCCTTCATTGATCTTTTTGAATTGGTTATGCATGTTCTGCACGTGAATTCTTTGTTGAACATGGGAGATGTGATGTCTTGTCCCGTTCTCTGGCTTGCCACTAGGAATGATGACCAGAAGTTAAATTTTAACAAACTCCAATTTGTTAGTATTTTCCTTTATAATCAGTGATATTTACACACTGTTTAAGAAAACTTTACTTATCATACAGTCATGAGATATTCTCATGCTATCTTTCAGGAGCATTATCTGGGACCCTTTATACATAGCTGCTGAGTTTTATGCTTGGTGTGAGGAAGGGACTTCAATCTTTTTATTATTTCTTTTTCTTTCTTTGGTACCAGGGATTGAACTCAGAGGCACTTAAGCACTGAACTATATATGCCCAGTTCTTTTTTATTTTTAGATAGAGTCTCACTAAGTTGCTGAGGCTGGCTTTGACCTTGTGATCCTCTTGCCTCAGCCTCCTGAGCCACTGGGATTATAGGAGTGCACCTCCACACTCACTCAATCTTTCCGTCTTTTGCCTTTTCTTTTTCTTAATGAGGCAAACAAGTAATATTATCCTACAACCCAGCAATCATTTTTCTGGAAACTTCTATGTTTATGTACATGTACAAAGATGTCCTCCACAGTATTATTTACAAAGGCCAAAACTATAAATTGCCTCATTACCCATTAATATACAAATGGTTTTTAAAAAGCTATATCCATTTAATGGAATGCTGCTTGGCCATCAAAAAGAATGAGAAAAAATAAGAATAGAATTATGCCATTTGCCAGTAAATGGATGCTAAGCAAAATAAGCCAATCTCAAAAAACTAAAGGTTGAATGTTTTCTCTAATATGTGGATGTTAATTTACAATAAGGCAGAGGGCACTAGAGAAGAACAGAGTTACCTTAGATTAGGTAGAGGGAAGTGATGGGAGGGGAGAGGGAGGAGGGTATGTGGGGATAGGAAAGATAGTAGAAGGAAACAGACATTATTACTGTATGTATCTATGTGACTGCATGACCTATGTGATTCTGCAACATGTACACTTTGAAAAATGAGAAATTACATCCCATCTATGTATGATATATCAAAGTGCATAAATGCATCCTATTATCATGTATAACTAATTAAAAAAATTAAAAATTAAAAAGAAAAAGAATGAGAACAATGTATAGAGTTGATTTGCAAAGGGAGCCATTGTGCGTTAAATTTAAAAAAGGAAATGCAAGATAAAGTACTATTTAAAACATGTAATACATATGTCATATATTTATAAATATTTTTAAATGTGTAACACATATTTAATATTTCTTTAAATATGTATTGAACAAACTCACATGGAATATAGATTTTTTTGTAGATACATTATGCATTTGGCTAGGTAGTAAGACTTGGCATTTCCATATTGCTAAGTCTGATACAATAAGAGATATGATTAGGAAAAACAAAGAAACCCATCTTCTTCTGCATCTATGGTTTCCTCCCTTCTCCCCTCTCCTGCACCACCCCTTTCCTATCCTCAAAATATGGGGGATATTTATGTCCTCCTGACAGCTGGTCACAATGTTCCCCTTTGGAATGAATACTGCATTACAAGTCCCAGAAGTCATAACAGCAAGAGGACAAGCTGTTCCAGCCCCCTCCCCAACAGCTTTGCAGACGGGCCTCCAGCCTTACCCCTGGGTTGAGGAACAGGTTTATGTGTTTATGCAGCAATGCTTGATTCTGCTGGTTGCCTGCACAGAAATTCTGCAAAAATTCATGAGCCAGCCTCATTATCTCTTGCATCTTGGTATCTTCAGCCTGTGGCGGGGACAGAGACAGAAGGCACTGATAACCAGGCCAGGCAGGACACTAGCTTCCAGGCAGGACACTTCCCATGAAGGTAGAATTCAGGCCCCCACTGAGGGCCGGCTGTGGGTAAATGCTGAGGCACTGCATGGTCCGTCCCAAGAGGCAGCCAATCACTTATCTAAGCCTCATCCATGAGCCAAATTCTCTCCCACTAGCCTTAGGGTACAATTAGAAAAGACTTTATTCATTGCCCAGTAATGGCTATGCCTTCTAAACCCCCGATTCTGAAAATGGCTGAGAGCAGGCCAGGCCCACCTCCTCCCAGCTGGTGAGCGCTGGTCTCCCCAGCTCCTGGGCTCACCTGTTTAAGTTCCCAACCTACAGTGGCACATTACTCTCCAGAAGCAGGTAACAGGGCAGGGTGCATCAAAAACAGGAGCAAGTGCACCTGCCACACCTCCTTGTCACCTCAGGCATGCTGTTTAAACCCAAGAGTTAGCAGTCCCCTCAGCAAAATGGGGACAGTACCTTCCCTGAGCATTGCACATGCATCATGATGTGACTCTCCACAAACAAAATGATGGGATTCTCATTCTATATAAAAAAAGTATTTCCTGCATTTAAAACATCAGTTTGCAAAAAAAGTTAAATATCCTGTAATAAGACAATTATATATAACCAATTGTTATTCTGCCCAATTCTAAGTTAGAAAACATTTAAGAGAGCAAAAACAGAAAGAGTCCATCAGTGGAAATCATCCTTCAGATTCCTGCAGCCCCCAAGAGTCTCCCCAAGACATGTCACATCCATCGTCCCATCAAAGAGGCAGGAGAGTGGGGAGTGCAGAATGCAGACCTGGAAAACAACTCTTCAGCTCTTATCCCAGCTTGACAACTTCCTTGCTATGTGACCTGGAGCAAGTTACATAACCTCTCTGGGCTTGTTTCCTTATCGTAAAACAGATACTAAAAGCACATCATGTTGGCCATTGGTTCTGGACTAGACTGGGGTCAGCCAAATTTTTCTCAAAGGGCAAGACAGTAAATATTTCAGGCTTAGCGGGTCCAGGAGCAAAATCAAGTAGAGAGAGTACTCAGGTAACAATTCCAAAATATGGCCATCATTCTGACGTGTCCTACAAAAACAGACAGTGGGCTGCATATGGCCCATGCTAATGGCTTTGTCTCCTCTGGTCTAAAAAAAATAACTCTGGAAGAAAACAGGACATACCCGCCAGGAACAAGTGACAGAAGGAATCTGAGTGACCAGCTCTGATCATGGAACAACAACAGGAGAATAATAAGGGATCCGAATCACAAGTCCCAGCATGACAGAGCAGGGGTTACATTTGTCCCTTGCCAGTGGGAGTGGAGAGGTGGCAAACCCTCCAACTGGAAGAGATCAGAGGGCTCGGGACAGAGAGCTGCTGCCTTGGGAACCTTCAATAGTACCACGCTTGCCTCTGCCCATTGAAAAGCAACCTCCAGGTGCTCAAGGCACCAAAGAGCCTCCCGGGCTTGAATTCAGATTTTTTAAGGCGAATAAGCTTTGAAGACATCACATCTCACAGGGTTCCTTGTTGATGGGCTCCCTGTATACCACTCATGCACAGGGATGTCTGTGCCCATCCCAAAGTGAAAAAAGGCAGGCGCACGCGCGTGCACACACACACACACACATCTTTAAACCACAGACTGCAATCTTATCTGGGTGCATGGAGCCTGATGCTGTTCTGAAGATGTCCACTGCTCATTAGGGAAACCAATGATATTAGGAGACCCAGCTATGGTTGGCAAAATCCCACACGAGGAAGCAGAAGCACCCTTCTGGTCCTCCTGGCAGCCAGACTTTGAGAGACAGATGACCCATGTTAACTGCAAGTTAATCTTTCCAGCCTGCACTGTCCTATTGGGGCACTGAGCTTACATTGGACTTGTGGCTGTTGAGAGCTGAGACCAACCTGGCTGATTCTCAAGGTCCTTGTGACTGAGGGGGAGGGTTCTCTGCAGGAACTTTCTGGAATATAACACAGCAACAGGCCCAACTCCATGGTGGAGCAGAGCTGGCCCTGCTATAGGTAGCTGTATCCCCCTGAACCTCCTCATCTAAGGTGGGCTGATGACATCACGTCTCATCTGCAGGACCACGAGAGCTCAAGAGAGCTTGCGAGCACTCTATGGGCAGTGAGCCCTCTTCAGGGGCCTCTTCACCAGCAAGCCAGCCTCTCTGAAGTCACTGGTGAACTTGACACACTTGAGTTGTGGCCCTTGGACTCCAAACCTGCACAAGCCTCAGTTTCTGCCGTCAAATGGGCTCAGCATGAAGCCCCACTGGCTCTTGCAGGATAGAGTGAGCAGGGCCTGAGCAGCATCGAACCAGATGCCAAGGAGTTAGGCTCCTGCTTCCCTAAACCCAACCTCCATCCACTACAAGGACAATCTATAGCAACCAAATAGAAGACCTCAATCCAAGTGTCTTCACTTGAAATATGCACCCAGAAGATGTCAAGGATGGGCAAGTCCCATGTTCCCACCAGCATTCAGCAACCTGTGACACTTACATTGCTGCCGCAGTATTGTAAATGAAACCACAGAGGCCCAGGCCATTGCAGGTGTAGGGTTGACCCCTGATAGACACACTTCTATGCAATGTGGCTTGGGAATCAGAATAAATGGACTCTTCTTCCATCAGAGAATCTTAAAAATGGTGCAGCTGGCTGGTCTGTTTCATTCAAGCTACCTGAAACTGCCTTATAGTCACAACAACCCATGAGCTGCATGGGTTTCCACGGATGATTTCCATCAGAAGGGCTAGAGGAATCCCCCTGGGAGCGCAGCCCCGAGCCAGGGGCCTGTTCACCTTCTCGTAGGGGATCTGCAGCAGCTCCAGCACCACGGCGTGGGCGCCCATGTTCCGCAGCAGCCTCTGCTGCTGCTTCCTACTCTTCTTCACAGAGGCACTCTCCTGCACACAGAGCTTGCTGAGCCGGATCAGAATCTGGGAGAAAAGAAGCACCTCAAAAAATTAGAAAAAGCACCTCAGAAATTAGAAAAAGACCACAGGGCAGGCAGGCGGAAGGGACCACAATACATTAAAAACCTCAAATAGCCAGGCATGGTGGCGCACGCCTGCAATCCCAGAGGCTCTGGAGGCTGAGACAGGAGGATCCTGAGTTTAAAGTCAGCCTCAGCAAAAAAGTGACGCGCCAAGCTACTCAGTGAGACCCTGTCTCTAAATAAAATACAAAATAAGAATGAGGATGTGGCTCAGTGGTCGAGTGCCCCTGAGTTCAATCCCTGGTACCACTCCTGTCCCCTGCCACCCCCCTCCCCCCCCAAAAAAAACCAGGGCAAACCCACACCACACTGTATGCAGCGTCCCTGTCAATTGCATTAAACCAAACCTATGCAAGATCAACAATGTGCCTTCTAGAATTAGCCAATTATGGCTTCAAGAACAAGCGGGACAGTTTCAGAGAGAGCACTGCCAATCCTACGAGCAGGCCTCAACAGCCGAGAGGGGGAAGAGTTTGCTCTGGGGTGTGAAAACACAAAGACCCCAACCTGCCAACTCTGAACCACCTCATGCAAAGATTTCCAAAGAGCTGTGGGTGTCACTGGTGGGTACCATGGTGCAGAGACACACACCTGACGATCACACCAGCTAATCCTGTATCTGACTGCAAAGTTTCAGGAACACGGAGTGCCTATAAAAAGGCTGCATCTCTGAGAGGCGAGGAACGGACCACACAAGAAATGGCAGGGCATGTTCAAACTCAGATGCTGAAAGCATTCGACGCCTGAGCTCTACTTTCTTTCTGCTAAATTTTACATGAAAAAGAAAGTGCAGGCGTTCCTGCCTTCCACTGGACCACCAGTAACTAGAGCTCCCTAGAGAATAATTTATTTTGTTCTTTTTAGTAGCCTGACAGTAGAGTGAATTTTGACATATTATACACACATGGCAGATAACTTCCCCTTTTGGTGTTGAACGTGATGTGGAGTGGAGCTTCACTGCTCGAGTATTCACGAATGAACACAGGAAAGTTAAGTCCATTCATTCTACTGTCGTCCCTATTCCCATCCCCCTTCCTTCCCCTCTGTCTAATCTCCTCCCCACTTATTGTGTGTTAGCACCCACATGTCAAAGAGAACGTCCTGGGGCTGGGGTCCGTGGCTCAGAGGTAGCAGTGTGAGGCACTGGGTTTGATTCTTACAACCACATACAAATAAATGAAGGCCCACTGACAACTAAAATAAAAATTAAAAAGAAAAAAAAAAAGAACATTCTGCCTTTATTTTGGGGGATTAAAGAAGGGAGAAGGCCAAGGGCTTACCTCTTTCACCACTCTGTAGTTGTAGCTGCTGGTGCTTTCTTGCTTTTCTGACTTATTCCCCTCCTAGAGACCAAAAGGAACACAACTGTGGTTTGCACAGCTCTCAGGCGAGTGTGGGATTGCTAGGGTGAGCACCACCTTTCATCAAAGAACAGGAGTTCTGTGCTATTGTCCAACAGCCATGGTGGGTCTGCCCCTAAGACATCTACACTCAACAGGAAGAGGATGCCAGGCCTTGGCTGCAGAATAGGTTTATTCCTGGGGCATCAGGAAGAGAAGTATGGCGCTAATTCCCTCCACATCCGGGTCTCTCCTACATGGCCCGGGTCTCTCCTACATGGCCCCGGGTGGCCTAGAGATGCAGGTAACCTTTGATTTTGTACCTTTTTTTCCTAGAAGAATAGTTGCCACCCTGGTGTCTTAACAAGGAAAACTTTTGCAAATGAAGCCCAGCTATAATCTGCATTTGTATCTAAGGACAACAGAGTGTCCTTGCTTTGAGAGGCCCGTCCACCTGCCCGGTGCCCTAACCTGTGCTCCTCTCACCTCGGTTTTCTTATGTTCGTTTTCACCAGACACACCATCCATGGTCTCATCGGGGCCTTGCCCTTTGTAAACCCAGAGCTCAGACTTTTCCACGATGGACCGCAACTGATCCAGGTCTTGTTTGATCTGTTTGTAGTTGTCCACATCCTGGCTGGTGACCAGCAGTTGAACCTTGAGGAGTGCAGTGCGTCAGCGGAACGGGCCTTAATGGACACAGTCCACTAGTCACACACCACACACCCGCTGGCCACGTGAGCTACCTGCTTGAAGGCCTGGAGGACCTCCTGCCTCTGACTGAAGTGCCGAAAGAGGAGCTGCAGGGCCCCGGACACCAGGGGCGGGTAGTCGTGCATGGTCAGGTGGAGCAGGACGCGGAGGAAGGTCCGGCCGCCATGATCGTCCAGGTCCAGTGGGGTGTTCTCCTCACTGCAAGAGCACACAGGAGAGGAGAGGAGAGGCCCAGTGAGCCTCGGGGGTCTCACTCATACCCGGCCTGGACAGGTTTCCAACCCTCTATCCCATTTCTCAGGACTTATTCCTTTAGTGCTAAAAACTTACTTCACCTTCAACTATTCCATTAGGGGAGGGGACAGTAGGCTGTTTAACTGTCAAACTTTTTTTTTTTAAACCCCTGAGCCACACGAAACTCTAAGCTTTTGAATCCTCAAGGCTTTGGGAGGAGGCTATTACGCATCAACAAAGAATCCCCCCAATGTGGGTTACTATAAGAATGATGGAATGGGGTATTTATACTAAATTCTAAGCTGCCAGGTGTATGCGTTTACAACAATAATAATATTTTCATTCAAAACTGAGTACTGTGATATTTTAGGAGGGATTCAACAACAGGAACAAGGAACAGACAGACTGTTTCTTTGCTGCATTGCTAACACCACGGCCCACCAGTGAAGAGGCTTGTGGTGTTTGGAAGCTCTGTTTTGAGTCCCCTGTTTCTTTTGCTTCTATTTTCTCACTTAAACATAATTTTCTCATTTAAACATGATCTTGTGATGTATGCACTTGGGGGGACACCTCCTTAAATCCTTTCTTCCCTGGGCAAGAAACACGCTCAGGCCACCTCACAGTGATGTGAGAACTAAGAACACAGAGATCAGCAAAGCAGGCAGAACCCAGAGATTAAGAAGCTACTAATGTGGCCGACGACAAGCCGTTTAGAGCTGGAGAAGAGTGGCCTTCCACCTCCCGGTCCCACCTATGACACAGCAACTGAAAGTGCACTTTCCTTCCTCCAAAGATGCCCTCCGCTTGCTCCTCGATGTGTTCAAAGTCAAGAGCCCCTGAAAAGTTAGAGAACGTAACTTGAGACACGTGCGTGGCTGGTGAACCTCTCAAAAGGTGAGCAGGGAAAAGCTGCGGGGCTAACCCACATCTTCCGGAATCACCCACTGCCTAGGTGGGGGGCCACGCTAACCCAGGGGACACCCTCTAGAGCCTCACTGCTGCCACTTCTCTTCGTGCTGAAGGGGAGGGTGGTGACCTCACCCAAGGAAGCGTGGGATTAGAAGAGGATTTTTTCCTACCACACCTTCTGCCTAACCTGTCTCCACTACTTCCTGGGCAGAAAAAAAACTTTCAACATGAGTAAAACTGCTCATGACACTGAAATTTATTTTTTCATCATTCTGTTTTATGGGGACTTTGTAGGTAACCACAACACTGAAACCTTGGCTGTCTCAAGTCCCCAAGACAGGAGGAGATAAGATCCTTCAGTGAAGCCATGTGGGGTCTTTCCATTATTTCTCCTGCCCCAAAAGAATCAGTCTCAGGTACATGTCTCTGAAGTATAGTTGTCCTCAAAAACACTCCCACTGTACACTCCTTTCTAGAAGACACCGTTTGCATCTCTAGTTTTCCCAGGTCCCATTCTATGGCCAAAATCCCACTCTGGCATCACCAACCTGGAACATTACTGGGCCCTTCTTGGCTGCTGTTTCCGGAGGATGTTTCCGAGGTCTGGGAGTTGCTTTCATCAAACTCGCGCTTAAATATACACAGGAGGCAGGAGATCCTATAATCCAGCCTCACATTCAAAATGAACTAAAGATGGAAGAGGAAACGGAAACAGGTTGGTTATATGAACATGCCACCTTCAGCCCCTCGCCAAGCCATTGTGCTCGGGCAGGGCCCAGCATTAGCTGCACCAATTCCCTTAAGCACTAAGCGAGGCAAATACTTGGCTTAGATTTCAAGTCACGTTAACAACAGCAGAACTTCCATGGGACCTACCAAGTGGGCCCACATCACCTTAGTTTCAAGGGTGCTTCGGCATCCGGCAACTCACTCAGCTACATCACCCTCTCCCTGCTCCACCCCGTGAAGCAGGACTTCTCAGCCACTGCTAACCGCCAGCTCTGGGCCAAACACAGGGGAGAGTAAAGTTGGCTGCTTTGGAGAGCCCTGACAGCAGTTTTCTTTTTACTACTGAGTTTATGTTTTGAACATGTTTCTGGCTGTTTCCCCTGAATTGGGGAACAGATTCCTGGGCTCCCTTTTTTTTTTTTTTTTTTTTTTTGATGTCCTGTGTTCCCTCTACGCCAGCAGAGTCACTTTTCCCAGGATGGCTGCTCAGGTCAAAAAGAAAGAACAGTCACCTGGCTCTGCTGAAGGAGCTCACGTTCTTCCTTCCGTACTGTCTTTGTTTCTGGGTAGCCCTCTTGGCAACCTAACCCCATTTCAGGGCTGTTTGGCCTGCCTCCCGGCTCCCTGTCTGTTTCCAAACAACTTCTGTACATCCCACTTGGTATCTTCCCAGAGCCTCAAAACTCACTACGATGGTAACTTGTAGTTGTCGGCATGAATGGGTTACGGGGTAGCCAGGCGGCTGACAGGAGGAGTGAACACACTGAACTCTTGTGGGTGAGCTGGCTGTAAAGATGCACAGAGAGGGAGGAAGGTGGGCAAGGAGCAACTGCTGGTAACAGAAGGATTTCATTTTTGCTGTAATCTTTTTTAAGTTGTGACACTGTAGCAAGTTTGCATGGCACATGGAAATCATCACAGAATGAGGGAGAACTTGTTGACAAAGGCCGGGAACCATTCCAAGAGCACGGTCCTTGAAGAGGCAAAAGCCGGAGACTCCGTGCACAGGGGAGGGTCTGTCCTGGGTTTGTGACCCTCTTGGCTTCACTACAGCTTGAAACCCCTGCGCCTGTGCTCCCCCTTTCCGCTCCTTGTAGGCGATTTTCATTCCTGAACAAAGTCATCTTCCAAATGGTAAAACTCTGAGCAGGTTTGGGTTAGAGCAGACACACAGAAGGCATCCTGAGTCGCTCACTGTTGAATTCATAACATCCAAAAGCGTTTCGGGCATTCTGTCCACCTGAGCCACCCTCTCCCGTCTGCCCCTGAACAACCTGTTCCCCAACTTGCCCCCACTTCAGGATCTTTGAATTTGCTCTTTGTCTTGAGACTCTTCCTGGATATCTGCAAGGGCAGCTCCTCATTTCATTGAAGTCTCTGATAGTGACATCTCACTAGAGAAGCCTTCTCTGATAATGCCATCAAAAACAATGTCCCCCAAAGCCCAGCTACCCACAATTCTGAACACCATCCCAACCCTCCTTTGTATTTTAACATCTGAGCACCGATTTTTAAAAATATATATATATGCCTACACTTGCTATCCAAATGAGCTCCTTAGGAGCAGAAATTTAATCTACTTGGTTCATTGTTAGGCTTCCCAGTGCTTAAAGGGACTTGGCACTGGCTTGGGCTCAAATATTTTACAAATGAATGAATGAATACAAGAAAAATGGCGGGAATAAGGAAAAGAGGAAAGTTCGCAAAACCAGTGGAACCCCGAACAGATTTAGGATCCCTGACAGGGAGCTCAGGGAGCAGGAGGATCAGTGAATTCCAAGGCAAGGGGACAGAACAGGCAGAGACAGGGAGGCAGTGACCTTAGGAAGCTAAGGGGAGTCCAGCAAGTCCCGGTGTGGCTGGAGGGACAAGGCTGTGCTGGGCAGGGGCAGAAGATGGCAGTGAAGGAATCGAGGAGTCAGCTCCACAGCAAAGGGAGAGCTGAGCTAAGAGACTTTCCCATTTCTTCTCAGAATGCCTTGGACTCTGTCAGAGCAGAGGGCAGATGCAAACAGTACCTCTGGGAGCATCTTCCCGCCCCTCCTCCCATACCTGCAGGATCTCGATGATCTTCAACTTGGTGTCCATCACCATGATGTCCTCCTTCTCTGGCTCCGCCTGCTTCACGTTGCCTTCAGGGGCAGCAGTCATGGGGGTCATGGGCAAAAAGCCACCTCCCCGGAGCACCACCTGGGTCATCAGCTCCCCGACTCCGTGGATGGACCTCATCACGTTACTGCCTGGGAAGGGCCAGGAAAGACCTGGATCAGACCTCTGCAGAGTTCCCTGAGCACCTGGCAAGGGGCAGGGGCGCTCTGAACAGGTCCTTTAACCTGGCCCCTTCCAAAACACTCTCGGGACACCAGGAACCCGAAAAGGTGGGTGCCCACCCCAAAGCTGAAGACTTCTGAGAACAGTAGAAAGAACTTGGGTTTTGTTAGCCAAAACTTGTTTTGTTAGCCCCCGTGGGTGAAATGAATTCACCCCCAGGTTTTATTCCTCAGCAACATATGTGCTTGTTAATGTGCAAAGTACTTAAGATCTCAGCTCCAACCAGGCACAAAACCTGGCACTGCTCTCAAAGGCAGCTTGATCATGGGGACGTCATATCATCCCTCAGTTTTCTCACATATAAATGAGAAATCTTTGTGTGTATGTGTGTGGTGCTGAGAATCAAACCCAGGACCTAGCGCAAGCTAGGAATTCTATCCCTAAGCTACACCCCAATCCTTAAAGCAGAGTAAGAGCTCAACAACAGAATTAAATAGCATTATTATGCATGCAAAATGGCTACAGCACAGGGCTTAACAAAGAGCAGGAGACACATACAGAAAACCAGTTGAAAAATGAGACCAACTCTGTGCTCACTATGTTTCTTCCCACAACCGAGGAATAAATAAGCATATAAAGGGGGTTTTCCTATTCACAAAGTGGAAACAAATACTAAGACACAAGCCTGGATCATGTTTCATGTGTAACTATTATCATCCAGGGTCCAAGAACATCACAAACAAACGAGGATACGTATGTTTTTGAGAACTAAACACTGAAAATGCCAGGTGACTTTCCAATGGTTCCACAAAGTAGACACAGGCTCTCATAGGTGAATGCACAGGAGAGACCCCAAAACACTAATCATGAGACTCGATGCCAGGGGTGTGGGAATTCACACAACGGTCCCTGGGACTTTTCTTAACATTTGAGAATGTTCATGATGAAGAGCGGAAGGAATGGAGGGGGGAAGGACGTGATGTCACAAGGCAAGGCAGGACATGACGGGGACAGGGAAGGCTGGGAGGGCATCTCAGATGTACGGGCACCATCAGATACTCACTCTTCAGCTTCTCCACATCATCGTTACCTTTATTCTCTTCTCCTTTCGCCATCTTGCTGATGGGGAAAATGGTCGTCACATGCACACAGTCTAAGATGGCGAGGAGGATCTTGGTCAGCCGCAGGAGGTCAGAGAAGTTGTAGAAACCAAAGTATATGAGGTTCCTGGCTAAGTTGACAACCTACCGTGGGCGAAAGAAGATGGTGTTAGAGGAACAGCACCCTCCTGCTCCACCTGAGGTCGACTAGTTAGTAATAGATGAGAGACCTGACCTTCCTCATGGTAAGAGAAGGCAGGTATTTCCCTTACAGTCTCTGTTAATGAGTAATGAGAAACAGAACCCTGCAAATCTGCTCATTTGCTCTGATGACTAGTTAATAAAATTGTCCTAGTCACCAAGTGTGTGCAGCTGCCCCAGGCTAACACTGAGCAAACCAAGTAATACCAACATGGACACAAATACCACTACTACAATCCTCAGAAATACAACCCCAAAGGCAGAAGTGGTCCCAGAGACATTTTAGGTTAAAGGTAATAAGGTTTTATGTTCCTCAAAGGATTAATCTATGGCAGATCCCAAGCACAGTGTGTTTCTCCTTGACATTTTTAACACGAATACGGAGCGCACGTCACATTCTGTCATTTTGCATCACCCAATTGTCTTCCTGCGTTTCTTCCAAGAGCCTCCTTGAGCCACGTGACTGGTGTTGGTTCTGTTTTAGGCTGGAACAAAACTGAGTGGATATTCTTTTTGATGACACCAATCAGAGCATCGTGACAAAAATCACCACTTACTAACATATTTTATATCTGCCCCATTGCCGTAAAACGTTCTTCATGACCACTGAAAAAGGAACGAAAACACACAGGTCACATCGTGCGTTACCTCAAACGTAAGCTTATTCTTCTCCTTATCAGAAAACGGAAACCTCTGGCAAACCACGTCCCGTAAATACTCCTCCACAAACTCCATGGTCTGAGCAAACCTCTCCTTGATTTCATCTCGGGATGCTCCACTACTGTCATAGCTGCAAGGAGGGACAGGGGAAGGGAACACCGTGTCACGCTGTGCCCAGGCTGCTCAGCCCCAAAGTCAACGTCCCTGACACTTTGTATCCCTGCACCCTGGTTCTCCTCTTCCTCCTCAGCACATGTCACCACATACACATCAGTAACTGACCTTGTTCTCCCGTCCTCCCCACTAGCATAGAAATAAGGTGTCCAGCTTCTTCATTAATATTCTTTGATCTTAGCACACAGTACACATTCAAATGTAGAGATTATTAGAGATACACGAAAGGTATAAAACACAATCATGCCATCTCTTTCAGGGGACTGAACCCAGGGACACTTAACCACTGAGCTTCATCCCCAGCCCTTTTTATTTTTTGAGACAGGGTTTCACGAAGTTGCTTAGATCTGCTAAGTTGCTGAGGCTGGCCTTGAACTTGAGATCCTCTTTCGTCAGCCTCCTGAACTGCTGGGATTTAAAGGCATATAGCATTGTGCCTGGCCATCTCTTACTTTAAGGAATGAAATAATATTTGCCAAGCAAATGATTTCACTTTAAATTGAACAATGCCAAAAAATAGATAAATAAAAACTTCATCTTTCTTCCATGATTCAGTAGAAATCACACGTGGCTTAGCTACTACTGCACCGAACATTATAAACACGAGGTTTTGGGGTCTCCACAGGAAGGAGCCAGACTCACTCATCAATGGCGATCTCCGAGGGGATCTCGGACCAGAGGCGGGCGTATTTCACGGGAGTGACTTGCTCCTGGGGGTCTCTGTCCACGTGCATGTGGAGCATGAGACGGCAGAAGGAGGCTCGCAGGTCGTAGGGCAGGTTCTCGTCAGACATGCAGCGCAGGATGAGGTCCACATCCAGCTGGCCTGATATCTCATTGATGGCCAGGTACTGGCGGTCCAGACACATCCTAGCAAAGAGGTTCAGCTGATACCTGAGGAAAGAAAAGGGGCATCGGGTTGGCACTCTAGGTATCCAGGCAGGCCCTGTTTCCCTGGGGGCACATTTGGCCATCTGAACTTACACCCACACCCCCATGTGACTCTTCTACACCCAACTTTGGCTCCTGTAATAAAACAAAGTTCATGCTATGCCAGAGAGCCAGGAGAGACAGCCGTCTCACGAGTCCAGCCATGCTAGGGCAATCATGTCATAACTTGATTCCATTTTACCCTGAAATATTTTATAAAATAATCAGAGGAACATGGCTAGGCCTTCGATGGTTCTTTTGGATGGTACATTAATAAAAGAGAATACCACCTAACTCAAAATTAAACTGTCTGCCTCTATTAACACAGATACGTTTTAGAAACAATATTGAATGATCAAGGCCAGTTTTAGAAGGATACCTGGTGTAGGGTATAATTTATATGAAATTTTAATAAGGGAAAATTATGTGATTTATCGGGCATACGGATGTAGTAGAAATTGAAGGGATGAATATCATGTACAATGGGAGGGAAGAAACTGGAATGCTTGAGGTAAGAAAAGACATTTTAACTGCTAAGTTTTATTTATTTTATTAGAAAAATACTAGAAGCACTACTTTCTTCTCTCTTCCTCTTAGAAGTATCTACTGAATTACTTCCCTCTTGTTTCCTTCCTTTCCCCTCAGGAGGCAGGGCGAGAAGCCTCAGAGCTGGGGGTGGGGTGACATCCTCAGAGCTGGGGAGATGACACAGAGGTGGAGACTGGTGGCAGTGGGCATGTACCAACAGGAAACTTCCCAGGAGTGACGAGAGTAGGGGGAGTTATGATCACAGGAAGGGTGATGGCTAAAACAGACCCCGCAGTGTTGTAAGAATTTGGAAGCAAAGGTCACGCATCCCTTGTTGGAAATGCTCAGGAGCAGAGTTTCAGGCCTTAGAGTTTTCTAGACTTGGGAAAACCTGCAGTCTATACTGATCTGAAAGTCTGAGAGGCTCCGAAATCTGAAACCTTTTGAGCATCATGTCGGGGTTTGAAGTTTCCGATTTCAATTTCAGATTCAGGAGAAGGAATGTTCACAGTTTTCATTCCGTACTCGCACAGAGGTGTACAGATAGATATAGTAATGCAGAGGTATGTGCACACATGGGGTCATTGTCTAGCTCGGTCTGTAATCATTCCAAAAGGTGGGTACAATCACCACTATTCTACAGATAAAGAAACTGGAGGATGAAGTCAATCTTGGTCAATGTCAGAAAACTAGTAAGAACATAGGTCAGGATCTGAACCCACACAGATTGACGCTTAACTACCACAATACATGCAGCCTTCACTGATAAATGGTGATGAAGGGTGATCCCAGGCCCTGACAGGCCCTCGCAAGCCTTCCTCCTACTTGTGACCCCAGCATGCCCTGCTATCAATGAATTACATATTCAGGAGATCATATGCTTGCAAATTGTTTTGTTTTGTTTTGTTTTTGTACCAGGGACTGAACCTAGGGACACTTAACCACTGAGCCACATCCCCAGCTCTGTTGTGTTTTATATATAGATAGCAAGGCTCTAAGCAACTTAGCAAGGCCCTAAGTTGCTGAGGCTAGTTTTGAACTTGTGATCCTCCTGCCTCAGCCTCCCAAGCTGCTGGGCTATCAGGGTGTATCACCAGGCCCAGCTTATGCTCTTAAATTGAAAACACCACCCCTGTCTTTCTGCTGGGCAATCTCCCAGAACGAGCAGCCTGGTGACTCCCTGGAGCAACCAACAAGCAAGCAGCATATTCCAGCCGAGCCCCCCACATCTCCCTCGCACCTGTAGTAGCTGAGGACATCACGATCCTCCTTCTGCCCTTCCTTGGCATCCTGCGCCAACTCCCTGACGCTCTTACTACGAATTTCTTTGTTGCTGTCTCTCCAGAATAGCCACACCTCCTCCTCGTCCTCCCCGGCCTCCAGAGCATTTTCCCCGGTGGAGACGCCTTCGAATTCAAAACGAGAGAGAACCAGCCTAGAGATGGGGAGAAGAGGAAGGCGTTATTTCTGAAATCCTTTGAAATCCAGCTCCATTACACATATGAAGCAGCTTCGTATTTTATCCTCCCTCCAGCAGAGCCACATGGAGCAGAACCTCCACCTCTTTCTCAGCTAGGTGGTTCTGCTTTTCCAGTGGACCCCTGTAAATGTCTGGAGACTATTTGGGTTCTCACACTGAAAGAGAGGGATTGTACTGACATCTAATGGGTAGAAGTCAGGAACACTGCTAAACATCCCACAACACACTGGAAATCCCCCACCGCAAAGAATTACCCAGCCCCAGAGAAGCTAAAACATTGCATTAATCCAAGCCACATGATAAGTTATGAATAAGAAACAAAAAAAACACAGTTTTTAAGACTACCCATGCTGGGCACGGTGCTGCATGCCTGTAATCCCAGAGACTCAGGAGGCTGAGACAGGAGGATTGCAAGTTAGAGGCTAGCCTGAGAAACTTAGTAAGGCCCTAAGTCACTTAGCAAGACCCTGTCTCAAATTAAAAAAAAAAAAAAAAAAAAAGGAGGGTTGAAGGTATAGCTCAGAGGTTAAATGCCTGAGTTCAATCCCTGGTACCATAATAAATAAAAGACTATCCACGCTATTGCATTATACTTACCAGAAAAACTGCTTCGTAAAATATAGGAAAAAGACCAAAAAAAAAAAAAAAAAAAAAAAAAAGCCTGCTTTCTTCCTAAGACAAACTACTGCCATACCTAGAACATCTATGGACCAATGAACACTTGTGAATAGTGATCATTTAAAACTCTTCTCAATACTGATTTCATGTTTACACTGAATATTAATGATATCCTTTAAAATTTTTAATTGCTCATCCCACTTAAAGAATTTTCACCTCTTAAAATTAAACTAGCATCTGTCTAGTGCTCCCCAATGAGCTTACATGATGTTTAAGCCAGGACGATTCGAAATCTGCAGAGAGGCCACCCCACAAACTCAAATGCACACCCCCGCCCCCCCAGAGAAGAGCTGCAAAGTGAAGAGTGAAAGGCGGCCAGCCTGACTCAGATTGACTCAAGAAATGAAGGGGCACAAACCTCCATGGAGCCTCCCCGTCCACCCACACACCCCTTCTTCCACTTGACCCTAAGCCCCAGCTCCGACTCACTTGGTCTCAATCAGGATGTCGGCGTTGGTGGGATTCAGCACAGCTTTGCAGATCAGCTCCTGGGTCACTGGGATGGATTTGTTCATGGACACGCAGAGGTCAGAGAGGTAATCCAGGAACCTAACCAGAGACGGAAAACAGAATTGGAGAGAAAGCAGAGGCTTGGCAAGAGGGGTTGATTCCTACTCAGGTGGGTAGTTCCCACACGAAGGCCAGGGTGCCTGTGACCACGGCACCACCAGAACCCCGGATGAAGGAACAAAGGAGTCAAAGAAGAGAGATGACAGTGATTATGGTCAAGGAAGAGCGGATCAGGCCAAAATGAGAAGGAAAGCAAGAGAAAGAGTCCACGTCAGGAAGAGGTGGTGGGAGCCTGAGTGGTTGGGCTGGGCTCTGGGGCTTGACTACCCAGGGAAGCCTGGCCGGGGTGCTGACTCACTGTGCTGATAGGGACTGTCATTTGGAGAAATCACTTAACCTCATTATACTTCAATTTTCCTATCTACAGAAAAGGAGGTTTAATTCCAGAGCTCCATCCTGTGGGTACAGGAAGTGCCTCCTGGGCTCCCCTCCTGGCCCCCAGCAGCCCTGTGAGATGCAGGTTGTTTTTATGGGTGCAGTCATATCCTCTAGCAGCCCTAAGCAGCTCTCCAGTGGGGGCACTCGTAACAGCAGCAACAGCTGTGTCTGCAAAAGACTTACTGATGATATCCTGGGGGTGGGATCTGCCTGGTATTCACGGGGTGCCAAAAAGGAAATGAGTGGCCAACCGTAATTCCAGTTTACTCTGCATCCATTACAGGCTAACCTCTCTTCACGAATAGTTACTTGTGTCTGATTTTCATAACTACCTGTTGAGCAGGTGAGGGAATTAAAACTGGGGAGGAAAGCCACGGTCCCCCAACAGGGAAAGATGTTGGTAGCTAGGATCCCACCTGGTACCTCATCCACTACTGCATCCCTGCCAATCATCCACAGCCACCTGAGACCTGCCTAACTAAAACCTACCACTGGCAGCCCCCAGGACAGCGAGCCCGGTAAAAGCACCAACCCGTACCTGAGATGCCCAGACACCTCCCCATCCACCCCGCTAGTATCTCACCTGGGCTCCCTGTTCTTTCGCACCAGACTGACGAACGTGTCGATCTCAGCCGCTGTGATGTGCTTCTCCAGGAGTTTCCGGTTATTGTGGAGCAGGGCAGTAATGGTGTCCTCGGCCAGTACATCATAGCCGATCTGCTTCTGCATGAAGCCGAACTGCTTGGCTATGTACTCCTGTAAGGGGCAGAAAAGAAAGGTCAGCAGAATGATTGACAGTGTGGCTCCCATGTAACAGGACAGCAGCAGCACTCCCGGAAGAGAAGTACCCCTTAGCAGGCAGATCCCAGGGCCACCTTCCACAGCTTTCTGTCCTGGGGCAACAGCTGCCAACTCTCTGGCACCCCTTATTTTACTAAACCTGCCCCACAGATATCATTAATCAAAACTCCTTGTATTTACATGTGGATTTTTGAAGTATATGGTATAAATTTTAATCAGATGACTTATTTTTCCACAAGGTCAAAAGTTATTATTCAGTTCTGTGTTCAGTACTAATTCAACAGGACTTAACTGTGCCTTGTTCCTCTGTGTGCTGTTGAATTGATACCGACAAAGCCTATCTAGACATTTGGAATCGTGTTACCATATTTTGCTTACATGGGGTGGGAGGGTGGAGATAATAATTATTATTTTTATGGTACCAGGGATTGAACCCAGGGGTACTTAACCACTAAGCCAACATCCCCAGCTCTTTTATATTTTTTATATTTTGCTTAGGCCCTCACTAAATTGCTAAGGCTGGCTTTGAACTTGCAATCCTCCTGCTTTAGCCTCCTGAGCCACTGGGATTACAGGTGTGTACAACCATGTCTGGCAAAAAATTCATTTTTAAAGTCAATGAATAGAAGAAAGTTGGAAATATCTAAGCCAATTGATCATATTAATAGGCTACTTCCTATTAATAAATAAACAAGCCCATCTTTGGCCTTCTTTCTTTGGGCTCACACATCACATTCCATAAAAAATATCTGTGAACTCAAGGAACCTGTTGCAAATAGTTGTTTGCTTTTATTCAAAAACAGCTCCCTGCCCAAAAAAAGACTGTTTCCTATGGTATAATTTGCCTCGAATCCATTCCAAGTTGTATATTTGTTTTCCAATTAAAAAATTACAATAAAAAAGATTGCATGCTCCAAGTTCAAGTGACTCTTCAAACTGGCTTTATTTTTTATTAGTTCTTACATCTTGGGGGCAATTCAGGATTAGCATGGTGGCTGTGGGGCACATATACTCAATAAGAGTACATGTTTGGGAATTCACTGGCCTTCAGAGATACAGCTCTGCCAACTTGCACAGGATCCATAAACCACTAAGGAAAGACATCCACTTTAGCAGCACCAAGAGGGACTGGTTTAGTTTCCTCACAAACAAGCAACATGTCCTGGTAGACACGATGGGGCCTGCAGAATCCTCCTCCCAAGAATGAGAGAGGAGCAGAGTAAGATCTCCATCTATAGTATTGTACACAGAGCAGGCTTTCTTAATCTCAGTATTATTATTATTACTATTGCTATTATTCTGGTTTCAGTACTGGGGATTGAACCCCAAGGATCTTTACCACTGAGCTACACCTTGTGTTTAGTTTTGAGACAGGGTCTTGCAAAGTGTTGGAGGATGACCTCAATTCACTATCCTCTTGCCTCAGCTCCCAAATCACTGGGATTACAGGCTTTAATCTCAGCACTATCAACATCTGGGGCGAGATAACTTGTTACTGCAGAGGGCTGTCCTGAATATCGTATACCATCCTGACCTCTACCAACTGGATGACAGTAACACTCCCCAGCTGTAACTGTCAAAAGTGTCTCCAGGCATGCCAGCTGCTGCTTGAGCTCACAATGACCCCTGGTATAGAACCAATGATGTAGCCACAGAGTTCTCAGTTTCATTGGATCTCTGTTTTTTGGAATGCCACTCCAAGAAGTCACCCCATTTATTTCATGGGGAGAATATATTGCATTATGTGTGCATAGACACAAAAACAAACACACACACACACACACACACACACACATACACACACATATATATATATGGTTGTAGTTATAGTTAATAGCTTAGGATATCATAGAACATGAGCTGAAACCAAACTAAAAAAGTTATTAACAGAGACACAGGATCTAGAAGGCAGTAAAAAGGCAAGATTCCACTGTACTTATAGCATAATCACTTTACCACTCACCCTTCAGGGAAGGGAATATGCCATAAAAAAAAAAATACCATAAATGTCCTATCAGTTTCAAAATCAGAAATCTCACTGAAAGGGGAATTTCTGGTACCTCTTAATTTTTTTTTAATTTCTTATTCTTTTCATTTTCATAATTGGACCTATTTTGGTGGCACCATATGATGTTTCTCCAGTGTCTTTCTATAATACATCTTCTCCCCAGGCTTGCAAACCACCTGTGCTGCTGAGCAAGGCACATGAACTCCAGAGAGGAGACAGTCGCTTCCCATCACCCTTGACCCCCACCTGGTTCTTTCTGTAGTCTTGCTGCGAATGTCGCAGGACCCGGTAGCAGAGCCGGCAGATGTGTCTGAAAGGAGCATGCCGCTGGTCCCCCAGTTCCTCCAGGCGAAGCATGGGTCCATCGCCACAGTCTGTGAATGGGGCCTGTAGCAGCTTGAAGATCTGCGTGTGAAAATCAAGAATATAGACTGCTCACTGGATGCTTGGCAGGAGCAAGCCCTCCTCGGGACACCTGCATCCATCCCATCAGAGAGCTTTCCCACCCCAGCAAGTCAACAGCCTGAGACCTGCATTCATTCCGTCAATTGACATCAGGGGCTCAGTCAGCATCCCTTCCTGGTCCTCACAGGCATGAGAGGACACTGCTGAGAGCAAGGAAGTGAAGGGCAGAGGCTGCCCCATATAGATTTCAGACGCACCTCCAGGACGGCTTCTGAATCCAGGTGTCTGCAGGTCTCCATCCAGGTACATGCTGATCTTGGGAAACAGCTGACCTGTACCTTCTGGGAAACTCACTAGCCTTTGTAACCATCTGTGATGCCATTGCCCTTGCTTCCTGAGACTCTGTCTGGTCCCTTTCTTATAAGACAGGTTGACCTTTACTGCACCAATCAGAATTCCGGATGAGATGTAATTAATAAACCCCCTCACAGTTCGGGCTATCATTAGATTCCATCTTATAAAACCTCAGAGCATTTTTTCAAAGATGCTTCATTTGGATGCCTCCATAATTGTACTCAATGCGACGGAGGTGAACATCGTCTTTCTTTATTCTTAATTTGATCTAGGTAGATACTTCTTAGTAGTACAGATCATGGTCAAAGTAAGATTCTGTCTTCTCATCAGTAAAATGCAAAGAATAATACCTGCATCACAAGGGTGCTAGAGAGAAGAGAGCAGATAACTGTCCATCTGGAAGCCCAGTGGCCTACGTAGAGATCGCTGAAATCTCCTGCCACTGAATCACACTGCCTTGGCCCCTCAAGGAACTGCTGTTGTGGAACTGAGTGTTGGCAGTAAGCCAGATGTCTAATTTGTCTACTCAACACTTGAAACAGCTGGATATAATTTATTCTTGGATTGAAAATCCTTGTTTAAACATGAATTTTGTCTATCACAGACCCAAAGGAAAAGGACTTCCAAATGCCTAGTTCCCAGGAAGAACTTTGGGGCTTGTCACTAGTGCATTTCTCTTTTGGCTCTATAAGCCAGCAACACCCGAGACAAGACTGTAAGCAAATCTCCAACCACTTAGAGAACTGGTATGTATTTCTACATATTTATTCTATCCTGGATTCAGGACTTTCCTGCCTCAAATTTGTCTTTACACAAGTATGTTAAAGTTGATACCATCTCCGTATTTCCTGCAACCACCGATCACTCTATGGAAAGCACACAGCTAATCCCCGCTACACCACAGCTCACCTACCTGCTTCAGAATATTCTGTTCTCTCATCAGCTTCTGCCGTTCTCTGTTGGGCTTGGAGAAGACCACTTCAAGCACATCTTGGCCAGAGTTGGTTCCACCAGTGACAAAGTAGACCAAGTCCTCCAGCAGCTTGGTTACAGACCTTAGGAGGAAAGAGGCCAGGAGAGACAGTGTTCACCCTCTAACAGGATGGAAGCTTCTCCTGGGCCTCCTCAACCCCCTGGACAGGAAAGGACCCTTCTTTCCAGTTTTCTTAAAATCCACAACCAAGGGCTGGGGTGGTGGCTCACTGGTAGAGCATTTGCCTGACACTTGTAAAGCACTAGATTTGGTCCTCAGCACCACATAGAAACATAAATAAAATAAAGGTATTGTGTCCACAACTAAAAAAAAATACTTAAAAAAAATTCACAGCCAGGTCCATTTACTCGAATGAATGACATCTAAACCAGGCAGTGTTTTCCATAAGAGGATGACCACCTTCACAAAATATCAGCCATGAGAGTAACCCCTGACATTTAGTAAAGTAATCCCAGGATGGAGGGAGGGGGGCAGAGAAAGAGTGGGAAGAGGGAGCTCTTCACAACTGTGGAAGCTCTCAAGAAACCAAATGCAAAATGACCTATTCCTGGGAATCACAAATGGAAGCCACCCAGGGACACTCAGAGGCGCCACCAAAGACATGGCTATTTGAAGCCACCATCCTCTCACTCCCCAGGGGATTTCTGGGATCCACAGGGGTGGGGATACGCAGGGGCCCTCACCTGCGCTCATTCTGGGTGATGGTGCCCTTCTCCAGCTTCCCAGCAATGGAACCCAGCACCTTGCTGGCGTCGTTGGCAAAGTCCAGGTCCCGAACTTCAGCAGGAGAAACTGGAACTATGGCAAATGCCTCCTTGTCCTCCTTCACGGGAGAGGTGCCAATCTGAAAGTCAAGATGGTCTTTGTGGGACAATCTTGGGTGGAGAAGGTAAGGCATTAAGTGGATAACTCATCAAGCAGGTATCGGGCAATCCAAGCAACTTGGAGCTATCTTGCAATTAAATGAGATTCAGGAGCACATCTTGAAGGATGCACTTCAAATGGCTAATAGCTGTCTCTAAAAGCTCGTATCATAGGGACCACTCAGGTAGGAAAGGGGCACTATTATCAGTTTACAGCTTCACTTGTCAAAGGAAGCCTATGAGATTCTTGAAATTAAAGAAAAAATGTTTATTATTACAGAAAAAAAAATACAAATGGTGGGTGATTTTAATACCAATTACAGAGTACCATAATGATAGACAACTGTGCCATTCTTTCAACTTTTCTAGAAAGCTGAAAAGACTCAAATAAAAGAAAAAAGAATCCAGTCACCTTCCCCATCACCGCCACCCCCCAAAAAAGTTATGTTAGACCATGCTTCCATGTTTTAAAGACAAGTGTGTTTAGGCTGTATGAACCTGGAGGCTGTGGGGTAGGAGAAGAGGGGAGAGGGAATAAGAGACTGGGAGAAGTTTTGAGAAACAAAAGCATAAAATTAAATACATAGAGAGATAAAGAAATAATAAATATTGAGGGAAATTAACTGGATATCTGAGGTACCTCAAGCCACAGCAAACATTCCTCTCGCCAAAATTATCATTCAGACAGACATGAGTTACAGACAATTGTTCAACTGCTGGGGCTGGAGCCATCAACCAACAAATAAATCAATAAAAGATTCTGGTTATTTCAAAAGCCCTGACTTTGCTTCATCCAGGTCCTATAGAGAAAATTCTTTCATCATATTCAAGTTTGGCTATAATCATGCTTTTGTTAAAGCTAAAAAAAAAAAAAAAAAAAGAGCCCACTTCACAGCTCCGTATTTCCATCTGTGCTCAAAGGAGCCCTTTCAGGAGGGAGCATGGGGCAGAGGGGAGGCAGCTGAGCGCAGGACTCACCTTCAGCATCACGGGCTTTTCCTCCTCCTTGTCAATGGGAATGTTTGTGCTGTGGACCCAGGTATTTGTGCACAGGTGTCTGAGTCGGACATAGGAGTTTCTAAAGGGTAATAAAAGAGAAGGGTTTAGGGACAAGAAGAGTTAGGTTTACTCCACAGCCCTGGGTCTAGAATACATTCTCTGAAGAGAGAAAGGGACACCCAGGTTTTCTCCCTTCATACCGCACAGTAGGGACTCAGGAGTCCCTGGCTCTGGTCCAAGTCACACACAGTCTGATGTACTTACAAGAGAAAATAATTCATAAGGACTCTAGGGTTACTGTAACAGTCTATATTTCTAAATGTAAGATTGTACCCTGTGAATAAACATCTCAGTAAAAATGGAACATGAGACAGAGCAGCAAGAAGTTCTTATTCAGTATCTATTAGTGCTTGTCACAAGAGGCAATAACCGAGATTTCCATATACACCAATAAAGAAAGAAATGAAATCACAAAACTCCTGGAAGAAAATTATGAATACTATTTGCTAATCTTGGGAAGGAAAGCTTTCTGAAGTATGTAATAAAGTATAAAGTCTCTAAATTTTTAAAAGAAGGATAAATTTTATATCTTCTGTAGAAGGCTGTGTGTGTGCGCGCGCGCGCATGCGTGTGTTTATTTTGAACAAAGAAAGGTAACACATAACATAGAAAGGTAATTAACTAATCCACATATATAAAGAACTCCTACAAATCAATAAGAAAAACCTGATGTAAATGGGACAAGGACACAAACCAGTAATTCAAAAGTAAAATAGAAATGACTGATTAACAAGGAAGTTTTACATTAAACATTTGCAGTATATAATTTTCTCAAATTATGACAACATACCATTTTATTCCATCACATTTCAAAGATCTTAAAGTCAGATAAAAGTTAGTATCAAAAAGAGCTTAGGGAAATAAGTTCTCTTGTATATTTTTTTGTTTGGTGCTGGGGGTGAAACCCAGGGCCTCACACATGCTAAGCATGAGCTCTACCACTGAACCACACCCCATTCCTGTGCACTGTTGGTGAGTTGGTGAGAGTATAACCAGGTAAAACTGGGGAAGAGTCTGGCTCTTTGTGTAACATGTACCTGTCCTTTCATCTAACAATGGCAATTTTACATGTCTCCCTTAAGAGATAATAGCTAAGGTGTAAAATGTGGCCCAAGGATGTTCAACAAAGCATTATGTATCATAGCACAAATCTATAAACAATCTCATGCCTCAGGAAAGGAGGAGTTAATTATAGTACAGCAAGAGAATACTACACAGTTACTTAAAATGATGATCATTGATGATTATTTACTTGGAAACATGTGCAAAACATGTTATTTATAAGTTAAAAAAATGTTAAAAGTGTTGGGTACAGTGGTGCATGCCTGTAATCTTTGGAGGCTGAGATAGGAGGATTGTAAGTCAGAGTCCAGTCTCAGCAACTTCACAAGATTGTCTCAAAAAAATAAAATTAAAATGGCAGGGAGTGTCGCCCTGGGTTCAACTCCTAGTATCCCCCTAAAAGTCAAAAATAGCTTATGATAAATCACAATCATCTCTGTGTGCCCAGAAACCTCACTAAAACTACCTGAACCAAAATTTTAAGTCAAATTCTGAATGGTTGAGTTTTACTTAATTTTTACTTGCTTCTCTGTTCTCCACAGGGTTTATAAAACTGCTGCTGTTGTTCCTACAGCAAGTGTGAATAATGTTTACCATGCTTTTCTTCTGAAGATGTAGCAGAAAAAATATGACATAATTCTTGCACTTCAAGAGCCTATCATCATCCCCTTAGGGAGACAAGGTGAATATACACCAAGTGATTAGAAGTTAGAGGACTGGACAGAGGCACTGAGAGGACCCAGAGAAGCACAAAGTTCTCTGTACCGGCTGGAGCTGGGACAGGGGCACAGAGGGAGAATGGAAATCATTTATACCCAGAGGAGTTTAGAACAATCACAGGCTACCTTCATGGGACAGGGGAGCAGATAAACCAGACATACACCTGTGTACACCCTCTGCCTGCCGTCAGAGCTGCCCCAAACCCTGCAAGCCAGGCCAGAAGGAGCAAACCGGGGTGGTATTTACTCTGATGAGCATGAATATAAATTCAATGACAGGAACGAGATGTTTAACAAAGAGATCGGCATTTATTTATGTTTTGTTGTTGTTCTGAGTGACTTGAATTCATTTTCTTTATTTTCAAGGCAAAACCAAAGAACAGCGCTTAGCTTTTAGCTGGTAACATTCTACACAGTTCTAGATCAGATGTCATTGAAGACCCAAAGGGCATGCTACTGATTCTTTTAAAATCTAAAATCTCATTCCCAATCCTTAACTCAAAAACCAGGAAAGAGGGGCGGGGTTGTGGCTCAGCAGCAGAGCACTGAGGCCCTGGGTTCAATCCTCAGCACCACATTAAGATAAAGGTATTATGTCCAAGTACAACTAACAAATGAATATTTTAAAAAATATGGAAGAGAGCCAGGACAAAAAAGCCCAAGCAGATGCTCTAATGAATGCATCCGATTTATGCATGCTGCAATTTTATTATCTTGCTTAGTATATCCAGGGTTGGCCATTAACCCTCTCACTTTGGCTCAGAGGATTCTTTCAATCAGTGACTGCCACTGCCACCAAAATGCTCTTCCCACTAACAGCTCTCATATGTTCATGCATTTAACCTGATACTTTCTGATCCTCAAGCAAAATTTAGCATGACTTTAAAATGGAGAGAAATAAATATGCTCCTTCTAAAGGTCTTTCTTGGAATCTATGAATAAGAGGCCTTGTTCTCCTCTGGCTCTGAAGTAGGAGGCCAAGGGCAAGAATGAAGGAAAAAATGTAAGAGCTAAGACCCAGTCCAAGACCACAGGTGAACAGACGAGTGGACGGAGCCAGATGCTTCCCCTGCAGGGCTGAACACAAGCCTTCCTTGGCTTCTGAGTCCAGAATCAGTCTAAGGACATCTGTCTACAAAGAAAGTCGGCCAACAGACAGAAAAGAATGGAGGGAACACAGAGGCTGGGGACACCAACCAGCCAAGACTGCTCAGTCAGCTGATACAGACACTCCTGCTCTCCCCGTCAAGGGGATTTCCAGCCCCCGGGGGGACAGGCCAACCGGTTCCCCATTGCCTGCGCCAAGGGAACCCCTTAAGAAGGTTCCCATGGAACACATACCCTTCTGTTCTCTGCCCTCACAAACTTCTACATTTAGCATAAAATAAGAACATCTTTGTCCTGTCTTCTGAGATGCTAAGAAAAACTCCTTAAAGAACTTTCAGAATTGAAGATACATGTAGAAAGTCACTTAAACTAAATGCAGGTGGGTTCTCCAGACCAATACCCATCCAGGTGTGACAAGGAGGCCATCAATGAGAAAGGAAGCTTTTGAAAAGCAATAAACCCTACATCCAAGACACTTTAAAGGACCTCAAAATGAATCAAAGACCTACGTGCAAAGAATGAAAACTGCAAAACTGTTACAAGAAAACGCTACCATCGATTTTTTGAGAGCTTGTATCAAAAACAAAACCATGAGTTCAGTAAAACAGATACATTAGACTTCTACAAAATTTATAACTCTCGTGCATCAGGGAAATAAAAAGACAAATGGGAGAAAATATTTGCAAGTCATTTATCTGATGAGGTATTTGCAGCTGAATAAAGAATGCCTATCACTCAATGATAAAGACATAAAACTTAAAGTTGTTAAATATAAAAGAACAGCAAAGGGCCGGGCACAGTGGTGCACACCTGTAATCCCAGCAGCTCAGGGGGCTGAGGCAGGAGGATCAAAGGTTCAAAGCCAGCCTCAGCAACAGCCAGGTGCTAAGCCACTTGGTGAGACCCTGTCTCTAAATAAAATACAAAATAGGGCTGGGGATGGGGCTCAGTGGTGGAGTGCTCCTGACAGTTCAATCCCCAGTACCTGCCCCCCCCCCAAAAAAAAGCAAAAGATCCAAACAGATATTTTTTCAAAGAAGACAGACCAGTAGCCAAACACATGGAAAGATGATAGACATCATCAACCATCAGAGAAATGCAAATCAAACCTACAACAAGCTGAATCTTGATGCCACCCAAGCTGTGGTTGTTAGCTTCCTTGAGCAGGAGAGCTACAATGCATCCATGAGGAAGGAAACACCGAGAACTACTCAGTGAGAGAGTCCGACGTAGAGCCCACCATCATCAGGGACATTCCCACCCACCAATCTTGTGCTGAAGACTTAGAGGGGCTGCCCCCACGACCCTGCCATAGACATGTAAGATCTGGGTTCTCCTATGAGACTCTCTGATGTGCAACAAGTTGCTTTATAGATAAAGTGTGGACACTATATCTGGCAGAATTTCTTGCAGTGACAAAATTATATAAGTTACATACTCAGCATTGTGCTGGCCATGTAGTTAGTGTTCAATAAATGCTAGCTATGAGTAATAATATTGCTGTTCACCTTAAGAATAGGCTTTTGTCCCATCTATAGTCCAGTTATTTAAAAATGTATTCTCAACAAACTGTGCCATGTGCATGCATGAATGTATCATAATGAATCCCACTTTATGTGTAATTATAATGCACCAATTAAAAATAAATAACTAGGAGGGAGACCAGGAGAGGAGAGGAAAGGGGCAGGGTGGGGGGAAGAAAAGGGGAGTATTTGGGCATGAAACGGAACAAATTATGTTACACACAAGTATGAACGGGTCACAATGACACCTGCTATTATACCTAGTTAAAATGCCCTAGTAAGAAACCTAATAAAAAAATGCATTCTTAGGCAACAAAGACAAGAGTTAAATCGAAGATTCAAAGAATGCTGATCTAACTTCTCACTACTTTGGGTAAAACTTGACACACAGAGTGAATTTTAGTAGTTTGTCTTCTAAAATTTCAAGTTTTTATTCAGTTGATCAAGAGGTAGCCCAGGTATGGGGAAGGAGGGAGAGGAACTTAGGCAATAATGTGCCACTAAGGGTTAAGGTCTGGCTTGTTACCTACAGATGATAAACTTATCCAACCATGGAGAACTTACCACTGCTGACCATTTAAAAATCAGGTGCCCTGTTGGGGCGGCCAGTCCGAATCCTTTATAAAGGCTTAAAGAAAAGGCCATTAGGATTTGGATTCCAAGAAGCATGACCCAGTTGCCTTGACCCCGTCCCCCCATCCTCTTGTTTGATTAAACAACACTTAAATCATACCTTGGGACAAGGCTGTCACCTCCACGGAGCGTGGTGGGGTCGAGCTCAAAAATGGAGGAGATGTCATTGCCTTCAGGCACAGAGACCAGGGAATAGACCATCTTTTCCTGGGCATTCCGCAACCTGCTTCGGGAGGCGTCCTGATCGGGGTCCACCTGTGGGTCAAAGTCATCCAATGAAGACCTGCATATGCCAAAGCCCTCACCATAACCATTCCTGGGTCCACGGGAGCAGGAGGGACACAGTGAATGGAACGGTGGCAGCCGGCAGGAGGACCAGGTTCAGAGCAGTCCTGAAAGGTGATCATCGGCCACCTGAGAGGAGAACACTGGCTCTCTACCTCGTCGCATTGCAATAAAGACATTCACGTGAAGGGGGCGACAATAATCTCCATGGAAAGAGAGGGGTAAAGATCTTGAGAGAGCTGCCCACCTGCGGCAGCTGGGGACAGGGGACACTTTGAGGAAACTATCTGGTGGATTTAGTCATTCACAGTTGATGATCTATAGTGACAGGTGTCTCCCAACTACACAGAACAGCTGCTTCCCAGGAGAGAAAATACAATGAAACCCAAATCCAAGTGTTCATAAGCAGCAATCCCAGTGTGGCTTAATCACAACCAAAAATTATATACAGATGAAGTCACGAGCCCTGAAAAATACTATGTGCAATTAACTGGGGGACTGCTGGGACTGCTGATGGCCGTGCAGGAAGAAAGGGCTTTCTTAGTACACTGAACTGTGGCTGAGGTGGAAGAAAATCCCTAATGGGCAGGCTGAGGAGCAATGACGAAAGCTTGCCTGGGAAAACAGAGCCCATGGGCCCAAGGACATGGAAAGAGCGGGCTCAGTGTGGGCACCTGCTCTACGTGAGCTTTGCAAGCTCCTCCTCAGCACGGTGACTGTGCATGGGACCATTTTAATGCACGACAACCCTGCAAGATGACAACATCCACCCACATCTACTGGGAAGACCACATTCCCCCCAGCAGTAGTTTGCTTCTGTCAGGCTGAAGCAACATCTCCTTCCCACTCAGAGGAAGGGGACCAAGAAGACAAGAGAATCGAGAAAACCCAGTCAATTAAAGGCAAAGGGGAGGGCGTGAGAGAGTTGAACTCAACCGGCCTGAGACCCAGGAGCGCAGGCAGTAGCCTGCTTATTCCTTTCATTGGCAGCCCTGATTTCTGTCCGTTAGAACCAAAAAGTTCTTCAGTAGGGTAGACAGGCCTGGTGACTACCCGCAGGTGCACCTGAGGCCCCAGCTGCTTAGCAAGCCAAGACAGGAAGATCTCATGTGCCCAGAAGCTCGAGGCCAGGCTGGGCAACATAGCCAGACCCCTTCTCAAAAACAAATAAAAGCTCTTTTAATACCCCCAACCTCTGTTCCTTTCCTCCCTCCTGCTTTGCCCTCTAGTAAACTACACCTCTTCCTAAATGAACCCAAGCTCCTTTATTCTTTCTACGCTGAATTAACAGCTGGAATACGGCTGGGCCACCTCTGCACCCTTAGCTCAGAATAAAGGACCTAGGGCCTCTGTTCTCTCCTCACTGCCATCACCTGTCAATCACTCCACAAACTACCTTCAAAATCAAGTCAGACCCGATTTTATGGTTTGAGACACAGGGTTCGGCTCCAAGCAGCTCGTGGCATCTCAGAGACCTGCAGCAGCCCTCCAGGAAAATGTGTGAGGAATTCTATTGGCGTGTGTGGAAATTCCACAAGCTCACACTGCAGCTGCAGTCAGCGCCTGCCACCTAGTGGGGAGAGAGTGCTTGTGCAAAAAGAGCAGAAGAAGCCTAGGTGCCCTTTTCCTCGCCCTGGGAGCAAGTAAGTGGCCTGGGGGTGCCATTGAATTCAGAATGAGCCTATGAAAGCTGAGGTGTTGTTTGAAGCGGAAAAACCAGAGGCAGGGGAGGCCAGCCTAGGGGACGAGAAGGAGCAGAGGAGAGTGAGATGCTTCCTCGACCGACTATACAACCCTAGCTTTTCCCTCTAAGTTTCCAAGCCAAGAAGAGGGTTCAGGGTGCAGGATCCTCCCCAAACTAAAGCCCTGCCCACAGATGCAGAAGAAGGTGTGGCACTGGTCTGAGGGGAGCAGGTAAGGTCCTCTTACACTCCTGCCCATGGGACCACAGCCTGAGCCATCTCAGACTAGCTAGCAATGCAGTTCCGACCTGCACCCCACCCTGCAGTTCCTCCCACCTCCCTGGCACAGAGAAGCATGAGACATAGAAAGACTGCTGAACCCGGAAATGCATGAAGAGTAACTCAAAACAGCAGCTTCCTCCTCTGTCAGATGAACATCTTAAGACCTGTCCTAACCCCCTCCATGCCTCTGCACATAACCTGGTGGATGTGAAGGTCCTAAAAATGCTAATAATCTTAGACAGCTTTTAAAAATGTCCTTGTAGAGAGTAAAGAATTGAGGCTCAGAGAGGGAAAGTACCTGGATTAAGGGGGCACAGCTTCTAAATGGTGGGACTGGTATTTAAACTCAGGTCTGTCTTACTCCCCTGCTCCCTGCTTGTCATTGCTAGGCACTTCTTCCTGCACCAGAAATGCCTGTCCCCCCTTGAACACCAAGAGCCCAGGAGGGCAGTCCTTCTCCCCCCAGCACCCAGGGGTCACTAGGATAGCAGCGCCCACTGCAGGAAGCCAAGGCTTGCCTAATCTCAGAGGTGACGCTCCGTATTACCTGATGGCACCACATACAAGTTGAGAGAGACAGTCCCTGCTTTTGACATTAAGAAGGTGCTAGATAGAAGTGGAAATGACATACAAAAAAGAAAGCCCTGTCAGGCCAAGCTGCCCCATAGTGCCCACGTGTCCCAAAACCTGTTGAGGGCTTTTAGGATGGGTTTCCTCACATGGCGCCAGAAAGCTGGATGAAGTCAGTGCTTTCCAAGCCACAGCAACCGTGCAAGGTGAGCTTTCCAAATGCCTCCAACGTGAGGGTGACGAGGACAAAAAGAAGCAAGGGGGCTCCACCATGCAGCAGGAAAAGGAACAGAAGCCTCAGCAAGACCATGTATTCACAAGCAGAGGCCCTGAGAGACAGCGTCTAAACTTCCTTCAGAGCCAATCTCCCACCCGAATACAACTAGAAGGTAAGCCGTTAGTGCAGAATTCACAGTTCCCACTCCACCTCTACTCCCTTCATTCATGTGTATTTTCAAGTCCTTCTGATGTTCACCAAAATTTTTCTAGAAAAATACCCAAGATCACCTACCACATCTACCAGATGCACAGAACGTCACATGAGCAGCCACTGTTGGTTTTGTTTTGTTGTTTTTCAATCCCAGACCAGAACCAAGCACTCCACAAGAGAACTATTTTATACCATAAAACACAGCCACTGCCTTCTTCAGCCGTGACCATGGACTCCTGGACCCCAGCGCCTACGTATCAGCATGACCTGGCAGATGATAGTCTTCAGAGAAAACTCCATCTCCTATTGCTATTCCAAATCACACTGTAAATCATGTTATACCCTGAAGCCTTTTCCTGACCATGTAAAAAGCAGGACAGGGGGTCAGACAATTATCCCTCAGACATAATGCCCGCCAGGCCTCATGGGCTACTTCTACTATCCATTTAGCCTCATTTCTTGAAAAATAGTCACAGATTAAGGTTTACAGCAGTAAGACAACTGCTTGCCAGAGCATCATCTCCAGCCTAGGAGGACTCCAAAAGATGCCACGTGTTTCTCCAGCCTAAGAAGTGGGACACTGGACTGAGCACATAGCCCAGCAATCCCTTGGACGAATTGGGACATAAGAGGACATGATTTCCTTTAAGAGAAGCACAGAATGAGACCCTCTTTCCCCTTCCCAGTGCTCCATGGCCACCCTGGTAGCTTCTGAAATGGGGTTCCAGATCATTTGGCCTCACCCTACCGCATGGACACAAGAAGGCTCTTTCCCATACTTACTGAGGGCTGAAACTCCAGGCACTCTTCCTCAAAGTCAGGGTCTACCTGATGAAAAAGAATCATGAGGATATTAAAACATCCGTTCCGGCTTTCACAAGGAATGGGACCCATCTGCAGGAGACTTCCACTCCTGCAGCCATCCTGGGACAGCTGGGCAGCTGTCCCCCCTCTATCCACGAAACCAGCATGCCACAACACCACCACATGCCACACAGGTGCGACACACACGAACAATCCACCAGCCACCAGAGGACGCTGTTGAGTACACACAAGGAACACACCACCAGGTCACTGGCAAAGCAACAGGCAGAAGCCTGCGGTGAGTAAAAGATCAATACGCGGTCCCTGACAGTCCCGCTGATTGTTAGTTAAAAAGAAAAAGGAGGCCTCTAAGAAGAGCTACTTTCACCTCAAGACATAAAAAGCAAACACCATTGATCTTCAGCAAACCGGGTAATCAAAGTTTCTCACGATGGATTAGCTGTGTCTGTAACTCCCTGAGGCTCCATTATGAATTTCAACTTAGCCTTCTTGATCTTTGGTTAAATATTTTGAAATCACTGGTCCATTCCAGTCTCTGGTGCCCCAGGGAGTCACAGGTTAGAGTCCCCATTCCAAGGATGAGGGGTGAGCAGTGGGGTGGGGGGGTGGTCAGCCACACAAGCAATACTAACACCCTTATGCCCACTGGGAAACCCCTGGGCAGTCCTTTTGGGTGGACCAGGTAACAGGAGGGGTCATTTGAGGCACAAGTAGAATCTGACATGAATTTGCATCATACATGATCCAGCAGGACCAAAGACAGATTCAACATCTGCCACGCAGTAGGACAGCTCCTTCATTTAATATAAAAATTAAAAGGCAAATTCCTCCTGTCCTTTCATCAGAGGCCCTTTATAGACAGGTAAGGTCAAGTTAATTTCTCTGATTTCTGACATTCTATTTCACTAAGACTCTGAATAATCAGAATTTTTTCCTAAAACTGTCCATTTCTTGATGCATTTTAATGCTTATGACTTTATATACCATGTGTCCACTATGGCTTAGTCTCAGGACAGGAGTGGGGCTGACAGATGAGATGTGAGGACAGGGAAATATCCCAGGGCAAATACAAAGATCATCGTCCAAACACAGAAGAGCCTTATTCTCTAACTTGCTTTCTCCCCACATCTTGATCAAAACCCCTGCCAAGTTCTTAAACGTGTGAGTCATTTTTATATCTTTTCTTCTAGGAAAATGAGGCAGAAGGATGCAGAAAAGCAAGTTGACCGAGCAGAACCCGGAGCCTCCATCTACTAGGTGAGTCGGGAACGTCAACCGGATGCCTCAGCTTCAAAGCGAACAACCCAGGGCTGCCACTTACCTCTGCTGCTAGGTAGTGTCCTGTGGCCAGGTGCTTGAAGCGGAAGAGGCTGTTCCAGTACCCGGCTCCGCCTCGGCACGGGTCATGTTGGACTACCTGAGAGTGTTAGAAAAGATCAGTGAGTCGGAGAAATGCCAGCTCACACCAAGCTGGTGCGATCTGAGACATCACAAGTTGAGTTCAGAAAGGGGCATTTTCAAGTTGGAAAAAAAAAGTATCAGTATCTTCCAACAAACCTACTGCAAGTGTCACATGTAACATTCAAATTCAAACACCTGAAAGTATTAAAATGATACTTTTCCAGAGAAGGTGTAAAGTCTCCCAGTTAACATGCAGTGTTTGGGGTAAAAGCTTCATTGGATTTCAGATTCTTTACCTCAATGCTCATGAAATAAAAGATTCTGAAACTCATCCACAAAACACACAGCTGGTAAAAAGGATTTTCATGGGGAACTTTCAAAGCAATCTACATATCCTCCTGTGCCAGAAAACACGGTCAGGCCTGTGCTCAGAAACACAAATCTCTGGGCCAATTGATTGAGAAAATACGTGTAACTTCAGTTTCTAGCCACAATACAACAATCAGCATCGACAGGTGGCACTGTGACAATTAGATACCATACGAAATAGTGAAAATCTCCATTCAGAAGTAGAAAACTGGGCAAATCGTCTCAGATTCCCCCACCTCACCCCCCCCCATACTGGGGATCGAACCCAGAGTACCATGCATGCTAGGCAAGTGTGTTACCACTGAGCTACATCCCATGCCCAAATATCTGGGTAAAATGTATGAAACAACCTGTCGGACAACAGGTGACACACATGTGATCTCTGAGAATAGAGGCACAAACAATGCAAGCTCTAGGATGTCTCTGGTTTTCTCACTGGGGAATTCAAGCTGAGAGCCCTAGGTTCATGGAGTTGAGGAGATGAAGTGAAGTTTAGAGAAACCGAGGCAGCTGGAATTTGTGGGGTAGAGCTCTGAAGAATATGGAGTTACATCCAGAATGAGCCCCAGAAATGTGCAGAGAGGCCTCCTTTGAGTTGTGGGCTGAGTATCCAACAGTGTATTTGCAAGACAAGACCCCACGAGGCCCAATCAAAAACAAGAAGGGGGACTGAGGGTGTAGCTCAGTGGTAGAGCACCTGCCTTGGCATGTGCCAGCCCCTGGGTTTAATGCCCAGCACCACAAAAAGTCAGAATGATAAGAAAATGCAAAGCTCCAAAGTCCCAGAGCTCATGCAATTGGAAGTCTCCTCATTCGGAAAGCCAAGGCAGAGAGATTCTATGGACCACCTGGAGCACTAACGGAGACAGCAGAAGGGTCCCCTTTAGTCATAGGGCTAATCCAGTCCCAGGATAAAGGCTGCACTCTTCTGACCTAATATAGCATGAAAATGATCCTCCAAAACACCATACTGATCCACCACGGTGACTTGACTGTCAAACAAAACTCTCTAGATTCTTTAAAGGAACAACAGATTCCAGACACCCAATAAAACAGTGGTACCATGTTCAACAAAGAATCACAAAGTACTGGACAAACAATCAGGAAAACATGACCCATAAACTCAATCAGATAATATCAAATGATATAATTTATGTCTGGGTTTATGTCTGAGTGGATTGGTGGGGGCAGAAAAAATATTTGAGAAATCATGACCTCAAGTTTGCCCATTTTGTGACATACCCACAGATTTAGGAAAATTGTGAAATACCCACAGATTTAGGAAAACTGTGACATACCCACAGATTTAGGAAAATTAAGGGACTCCAGCAAGAGAAACATGTATGCACATATATCCCAAGTCAGATCATGAACCTATTCATGCAAAACAGAAATTTTAAAAAAATCTATAAGTAACTGATGAGAAAGGGAAGGGAAAGAGACTACATATTAGGAATGAAGATCTTAAAAATCACTGAGTTCACATCAAAAACAATGGAAGCTGAAAGCTAATGGATCAAAATCTTAGAAGTAGAGAAAGAAAAAAACTATTCAACCAGAATTCTATACCCAATAAAAATATCCTTCTGAATTCAAGGCCACATGTAGAAATTACAACTGAGATACACTCCTCCTGGGAGAATAACATGGCGTAGACCTTTTGGGGCTCCTCCAACACGCATTTACACGTCACCCATGATTCCTCTCCCAAAGGCCTGGAAACATGCACACCCAAAATCTTATATAGGATCCTTCACAGCCTCCCTCTTCACCACAACAATGATCCAAACGCAGTCACATGATAAAAGGATAAAAAGTGGTATATCCACACAAGAGAATGTTATTTGACAAGAAATGAAGTGTAGATACATGAGGCAATATGGTTGAACTTTAAAAACACCATCTGTGGGGCTGGGGTTGTGGCTCAGCAGTAGAGTTCTTGCCTGGCAAACACGAGGTTCCTCCTCAGTTATCGAAACCTCCAGAGCACAGGGAACGAGCTTCCTACTACCCTGACCATCTGCTGACCATCACCCTGACCATCCTGCTGTGCGCTCCAGGTACCTGAGTGCTTGTCTGCTCCTTTGCCAATGGGGAATCACCTATCAGGTGGACATTTGGCTAAGGTTTGTGGTGACAGATAAATGAGCAAGGAAAGGAAAAGAAATAGAAGACATGATTCTATGACCTAGAAAAAGAGTATTTCCAGTCTGTCTGAATCCTTCCCAAGTGGATACACTGTTTCCACACAAGGACACACAGCACCTCACTGCTAGGTCAGAGTGCACTTCGTTTGCTAGAACACCCCAACCCGCTTTTGGGATGAGGTAGGTTTGAGGACCTGGGTGTGATTTTCAACCATATGGGGTTAAGTCCTATGAGCCCCCATGTCCTTTCTCCTGTCCTCCCATCCCACTCCTTACCTCCACTTCCCACAGGGCTTTTGAACTGGTGGCAGATGTGGCCGACTGCCGGCCCGTGGTCCTCAGGAAGACGTGCTGCTTCTTCCTGTGCTCATCACAGGTGAGAAACTTCTCTTGCTCAGCGTGAAACAGCCTCACCACATCACCCTAAAAGTCAACACAAGGAGGAATGAAAATCTGCATACAACAGGCCTGCACCCGCGTCAGTGTTCACAGCAGCACAAGCCACAGTTGCCAAGTGAGGGAACAGTCCAGAAGCCCATCCACAGATGAATGGATCCAGAAAACGTAGCGGATTTACACAGTAGAGTTGGACTCAGCCAGAAGGAGGATGTAATCATGGCACTGGCTGATGGAGGATGGCACTGGACAACGCCATGGTCAGTGAAATAAGTCAGACTTAAAAATCAAGGGTTGGGTGTTTTCTCTCATGTGTGCAAGCTACAGTACAGTGAGGGAACAACTTGGGGGGAGGTTGGATATTGTAAAGATACAGGGAGGATATCAGTGGAGTAGGAGGAGAAGATCAGAGGAAGGAGGGATGGGAAAGGCAGGAAATAAGAAACAAATCAATTCAGCTTTGTGGATTCCTACATGTAGCACAGTGAGTTCAACGCTTATGTACACCTATACAGCCCCAATCGAAAACACACAGAGGAACAGGGGAAAGGAGACCTGCAAGGTCGAGGAAGGACCATAAGGGGTGGAGGTAAGGAGGGAAAGGGGGTGGCTACTGGAAACAGAAATGAAGTCCATGAAACTCCCTGCACATGCTGCTTTGTCAAAATGAACCCGAATATTATGCATAACTATCATGCACTGAAAAGAAAAAAGAATTAATGAAAGATGGTTTAAAAAGAAAATGGCCTTGCTACCCCAAGAAAAACCAAGTATCAAAAAGCTGCCAAGCCCATAAAGCACCAAACTAACCCCCTTTTTCTTTCTTTTTTCTTTTTTTTTCTTTTTCTTTTTCTTTTTCTTTTTTTTAAGTAAGAACCTTTGGTTTCACTAAATCATGATCCTCGGGTACACTTTTGAAAATGCTCCTTGTGATGACTTGGGGAGCACACTCTGTAGTCGTTAATTTCGTCTTGCCCAAAGAGAGGTCTGGTACTTCTCCTGGGCTCAGGGAAAACTCACCCCCTTTAAAATGTCATCTTTGTTGTCACTCCATTTCATGAAAAGGACTATTTTCCAGCTTGTGTTGCAGTTGACGGAATTGACCTAGAAAATAGATTAGTTATCACATTTCTCACCACGATGTGTTACACAGCCCCAACATTCCAGAATCAAGGGTGTGCCTCATCCCGAAACCCCTACAGACTTAACCATATCAAGATCCCAGCACCGGCAGAGTCAACTGGCCAGTGAGAAGTATTTCATCATAAATGGCTCATCTATGCTCTCAATAAGACCAAAGGAACACCATGGTAAGTGAAATAAGCCAGACTTAAAAATCAAAGCTTAGATGTTTTCTCCCACATGTGCAAGGTACAGTAAAATGAGGGGAAAAACTTCCCCACACCCCTCCTGCAATGATCTTTTCCTTTTCTTCCAAGTCTCTCATTCTGTAGCCAAAAAAGTAAAGGCCAAACAAAAAGGACTGGTCAAATAGAATGAGCCACAAAGCCAAGAAATGAATCCAGTGTATACAGATGAAAATGTTAATGACCATCATTATCAGAAGGGCCATTACTTGTGCATTCAGCTGTGTACGAACACTATTGCATTTAACACTCAGCAATACCCTAAAGAGCAGGTACACCCATCACACCCATTTCAGACAGGGAAACCTTGAGTGGGGTAACTAATACACAGTACCAGGGCCAGGGAATGACAGACTTGACATTTGAATCCCTATCTGTCCCACCCCAAAGCCTGAGTTCTTATCCATTAAACAGATACTCATGTCACCAACTAGTTAATGTCCTATGTTCTGTACCTGTCAATTTAAAGGCTAAGCAGCTATACTGCAAAAGCAAGACACCCTTGCAGGGCCACTCATGTATTATAATGGACCCTTCTTAGGAATTAGAAAAAGGCACCCTCTTCTTTAGAGAAGCAAATTAGAAAGAGGCATCCTGGTGGTCAGGAGAAACATACTGGCAACAGAAGCCCTCTCAAGATTAACAGATGAGGAAACGGTGCGTCCAAGGCACTGGGCACTGGGGTGAACTACCCGCCCCCACTCACTGCAGAGACATGCACACCTAGTGTGGCAGCTCCAACTTTGGAGCTCAGGTTCTTCACCTGCAGGATGTCACAGAGCTTGAAGTCCCTTTCAGCATGCACAAGCTCCAGCCCCAGGAAGGCCTGCCGCTTCCCAAGAGCCATGACTTGGTTTCCCTTACCTCGTTGCAGCCAGGGTTGTCCACCAGCTGATGGCTGCTGGCATGCAGGGGCTGGCCAGCATTGACGGGGTTCAGAACAACCTTGTCACCTATGACCACCTGGAAAGGAAGGAGCAACAGGTTTTCACAGGACGGATCTGGACTACAGACTGAAAGCTGGTCTGGTCTGAGAGTAGCCAGACGGGCAGCTTTAAAACCTGGCTCTGGGCAGGGGGTGAGGTGGGGTCATGCCCAGAGGCTAAGGCTGAATTCTGGTACAGGACTGTCAATACTTATACAGTGTTATAGTGCAAGTTGGTCCAGAGCCGCAAGAAAAATCTCATATCTCCATTCCATTCAGTTAAGGTACGTATACAAAAATAAGTGCTTGACTAAATTTTAGGAAAAGTAGGCTACTAAGTCTTTTCCTTTGCAAACAACAAAACCATACTTACATGTTTCTAAAGTAATGACCTTCGTACTTTGGTGACTGTAATAGATTTCCTAGTATGACTCATTTACATACAGCAACACACACTCTAGTGCGTGTATGTGTGTGTGAAGCACAAGTTATTCCTAAAACAATATTTGCCTTCATGGGTATCACACTCTGGTATTTTCCATTGTATCCTACTTCCCAAAATTATTGTTACATGCCACTAAATTGATTCCGCAGCTTAGGAATAGGTTATGACCTGCTGTATGAGAAGGACTTTTCCAATAGTATAACTATTTGAGTCATCTTCTCAACTAAGTCACAGCTAAATGGATTAAAGAATAGGAAAGCAAAGAACTGGCTGAAAATGAAATTCAGAACAAGGCACATTTGTTTTTCATTGTAGGGCTGGAAGAAAAGGGAGTGGAGGAGATGATTTCCTTAGACGTAAACCCCATCTATTTTTGGTGCGATACTTTTGGGGATCATGCATTCCTAAATTTTCTCCAGAAGAATAAACAAATATTTAATAAAACCATCACTTGTGGTGAAGCCTAGATATTTTTTTCTCCTATTCCCAGTCTGGGTTCAATATTCACTGTACACCAATGGTGAGGGAATGCTTTCCTCTATCTTATAGCACACACCCACACACACACACACACACACACACACACACACACACACACACTCTTAAACTGCTTACAGCTTATAAACTGAAATGGCAGTATTCAAAAAAATGTTGAAACCTAGTTTTAGATTAAGGCTAGTTCAGTATTTTGAGAACACTTGATGCTGTTTAAGGCACAAATTTCTTTTTAGCAAAAATGCAACTATTTTAGAACCTTAACAAGGTCAAGAATACAGCTGATAGCTTTCAAACATATTCATTGTTAAGTGTGTGCCCACGTAATGGCTCACTAATTTAGCTAACAAATATTGGGACTATTCTAAGCAGCCCTGAAAAGAGGCTCCTGTGGCTTCCTATTCTGTAGAGACCTCAGGACTGGGGCCAGCTCAGGACCAACCATGTCAGCGGAGCACCTGGCTGCTAATCCACACGGAAACCTCAAGTCCACTCTCCTTCCCCACTGCTGTCATTTCTTCTCCATGCTCCTTCCTTACTAGGTTTATTTCCAAAACAGACATTGCTATCCCGCTGATGGATCTGGAATGACGGGGATCCTCCCCAGGATGTTAACACGGGATGGCTGTTTTCGTGGTAACATGAATGAGGTAATGGACCCTCCGTAGGAGTGTTTCAGAGGCCCAGGAGGAAAAACATAGCGACCGTATTTAGGTCACATTCTCTCCACATTTCCTTGTTTCCCAAACACTCGTTTCCATAGTGATTCCAACTTCTCTGGTTCCAACTTTAAAGTTCTCCGAGTTGATTCCCGTACCCAGGGATGGCGAGAGGCCTGGTGTCCAGGCCTGGAGTGTGCGACACTTACGCTGTCTCCAATGGACCGCAGCTTGTAGAAGGGCTGAATGTAAAACCAGGACCCCTCGTTCCCAGCTTCGTCCAAGGTCACCCTCATGGCGTTCTTTTCCAGCAGAGCCGGAAGCCTCTTGTTCACAGTGAGGTATTTATTACTCTTTAAATGCAGGAGCTAAAAACCCAACAAGAGAAAACCAGGAGTGTCAGCCCACCTCTGAATTCCCTGACATTTCTTTCTCAGATGTATAAAATATGCATCAGATGTTCGTTCAACCACTGAGCGGCTTGTGAAGAACAAGGCCCACAAAGTACCGGAGGCTGGGGATGATGTGAAAAGAAGGAATAGCAAAGGAAGCAGAGGGCAAAATAGAAGAAAAAATTTGTTTTCTTTCTCTGCACGGCCTTGGACAACATGGATTCTGCTCAGGTCAAAGGTACTGTCACCGGCCAGCTGTTGGAGGGGAGCAACCTTACCCTGTGCAAAGGAGCTGACGAACTGCAGTCCGAGTATGCCCTGCCACCAACGTGGAGCTAATCAGGACAATTCTGAGCACAAGAAACAGGGTCCTTTAAAGGGTAACCCCATTAGGGGACTGTCACTTCACATGGAAGAACATGGTAACCATGGACTTCCACCTCGTAGTCTCCCACACTTGAGTCTTGGAGGATGGCGACGAGAAGGGATGGAAAGACTGGAGATGGAGTGGGAGACAGCTCGCCTACAAGCTGGTCTAGACCAGGAAGAGCTCACCATGGCTTCTCAAGTCATGAGTCCAGAGAAACAATGGAGGGGGACATGAAGGATTGCCCAGTTCCTAAACAAATGGCAGGACCCCCTGGAATTCCAATGCCAACTCCCATACCCCGTTCACCTGCTAACAGAAACCACTGCCAGGGCACTCCCAGGACGTCCCCAGATATTCTAACAGGGTCGTCAAGGGAGGGTGACAAGCTTGTCTGAGCCCCAGACAACCTCTGGCCAAGATAAACACAGGGAGACAATGTCCTTCCAAATCCTCACTGCTCAAGTGAGTGGCCTCTGATCCCCATGAAGAGGACAAACCAGAATCACCAAGAGGTGGATCCCCAGCTGCAGGTTTGGGGGCAGTAATAAAAACCATTAGTTGCTAAGTCTCAGGCTCACTCTCCGACAGGCTCCTCTCAAGTACCCAAGGAAGCAGATACCATTACCATTTCCATTTTGTTGGAGAGCAAGGTGAAATATAGCAAGATTTCTTGCCCAAAATCTCACAGATCCTTCACTGAGATGCATTTAGGAGTTTAGGTGCTTGGTCCCTGTATGCCTCTTTCATTCTCAGTTCAAGCCATGATCTCCAGTCTAAACAAACCAGGGACCCTGCGCTTTGAGTCTCAGGACACTGGCTTTGCTCAGCAAGAGAGCTCATGTTGAATTCCAGGCCCAAGTGACCCCTGTGGCCATTCTCAATCAGATGGAACTTAAAGAGGAGTGGGACCAACAGGACTTAACCTCCAAACAGATTTTGGGAGCTACTTTCACTATTCCAGAAAGCCTCATCTAAATAACCCATTTAACTATCACAAGTTCCTTTTAAGTCTGGGGTTTTCTTTTTTAACTACTTTTCCCATTCTCCTGAGTAGCACTATTAGCAATAAGAATGGGAAGGAATTCCTTTGTAACAAGTAAGGTTCAGGGTAAGCAAAATTTTTCAAAAAGGGAAATAATGAAGGAAACCTAACGGGCCAAGTATTCCGAAGTTGGTAATCACTATTCTTTGTGCCTGGGTCAAAATGATGTGCTAACTGGACAAAGGGAGAAGGTCCCCAGGCATTGGGATTCCTCACATTCTCTTCTGCAAGACTAGGATCCACTCAAATGGATTTTCTGAGCCAGACCTGCAGAAGCTGTTTCCTGGCTTATGTTTTATCCTGGTGACGAATTGAAGAGCAGAGATAAGTCAAGTAAACCTTCCAACCTGTAAGATTTAGGAATGATCTAATATTTTTCATTAATATAAAATGCATCAAAATGATAAATGCTTCTGACTTTAAAAATTTGGAAGGCTCAGAATTGGTCATATTATCATCTCTAGGCAAACAACTCTTGAACAAAAGATAGAAGTTACAGGGAAACCAAAGAGAAAGAACTTCCAAGCTCCTGAAAGTTCAGCAAAACTGTGACAGGCTCCTTTTCAGGTAGGAAGGTTCCCACTTGAACTATCTGGACCGATCTTAAATTATCAGGTGGAGGTAGCCAAAGCAGATGGAGAGATGGCCAGCTACAAAGCCCAAGAGTGCATCACTGGTAACCAACATTAGGCTTTTGCAACAAACTGCCTGACTCCATCCGTGGAGTCCTTCTGCACAGGCAGAGTGTCCAAATTCTGTTCCGTGTGTTTACTTTCTCAGTGTCATTCTTTGTCATGCGTCACCTCCAGAAGAGAAGATCACACTTGACCTACCTGGATCACGTTGCCATACTGGATCACAGTCCCCAGCAACTTCCTGTTTTCTGTCTCGTTCTGTTTCTTTTCCAAGTCCGCGGCATGCTGTGCGGGGCAGGGGGACAAAGATGGTCACAAAGAGGCATCTATGGGTTCTGCTCCTCTGCAACACTGAACCCATGCCCGCAACACAAGAACCACACAGGCAAACCCCTCCGTGCGCCCCAGGCTGTGGCAAAGGAGCCTCCACCATGCCTCGGCCCTGTTGGTCTCTCTGACTTCTTTAAAATGAGCTTTTTCTTAACATGGACATTTGCTTAGGGAAAGACTTCTTCAAAGTTTGTATTTTTTAAAGAAAAGAGAGTGAGGGTAACAGCACTGGAGCACCCTTTTGTGATTAGCAAAAGTCCTCTTTAAAAGTTCTAGAGTAAAATAAAACTGGATTTGAATGCTGGGTTTGGGGGTAGTTTGTGCTTTTGTGACCTTGAATTAGTTATTTAACATCTGTGAGCCTGCTTCCTTCTTTTGTAAAATGATAATAAAAATGATACCTACACCTCACATTGCACGTGGACTGCTGGCTAGTCTTGTCGGACATTAATTATAATCTAGGCAACTTATGCAGTAGTTTTTGAGGGGAGATCATTAGCACAATTTACAAAAAAAAATGATAATAAGAAGTCACCAGGGTTGTTTAATAGAATGTGGACTTGGTAGAAACAAGTTTCAGAATTTGAGCCTTAGCACAGAGAGAGAGAGAGAGAGAGAGAGAGAAGGGAGAAAAAGCAAAGAGACACAGAAGGGCTGGGTTGTGACTTAGGGGTAGAGCACTTGCCTAGCAAATGTGAGGCCCTGGGTTTGATTCTCAGCACCACATATAATAAAAATAAAGTCCTATCAACAACTTAAAGAAAGAAACAAGACACAGAGAGTTTAAGCAGTGTGGTCCACGTTCCACAGCCAGCGTTGGGTTTGTTAAACCGTTTTCTCTACTGAGGACAATAGAAATTTTGCTGAAATATTTTTAGAATCACCCATTTATGAAGTGGCTGAGAGAATTCTCAAATTCACAACTGGGTTCATTCCAAATCTGTGCTGTTACAGTGAGGCTGGGAGACAGGACCAGTCCAACGCTGGCAGGCAAGGAAATGTGCACAGGCTGAATAGAGTGTTCTAGAACATTGCCAGGGCCTGCATCCTGAACAGTTGTCTCTTGTGCATTCTCCTGGGCCACTCTGAGGGCACTGCTGTCATTTTCAGTGATGCTGAAGGAGGAATAGTTAGGCCCCGGCAGTTAGCATACTGCTGTCCCCATCCCCGACTCTCAACCCTGAACTGAATGACAGAGAAGTCAAATAACGGGGTAGGGTCAGGATGGATCTGTATGGAAGGAAACCCTGATGACCACAGTGTGCTTCAGGAACCTTCCAAACACTCTCCCCTTCTCTGGGGGCTGTGGAGGTCAGTGGGTCCCTCTCCCAGGAAACCTGTCTTTATTTTGCCCTTCTGGACTTCATCATGGGTTTCTCTGTGCCACCTGTGTCCTTTTGCCCTGGTCACTTAATCTCACTCGGTGTAGTCATCAGAAAATGGGAACGCACGCTAGGCTTTGAGACAGTGCCTGCTAGGGACATCATAGGCATTTGTAATATTTTATTCAATAAATAATGGGGCAATGCTGGAGACAGAACCCAGACCTCACATGAACTGGGCAAAGAAACCGTCTACACTGGGCCCCCCTTCTATCCCCTTCAATGACTTTGCACTATGATCATGATGTACAAAGCTCTAAAACTAAGAATGTTCTGATGATCAAAATTTCAAGTCAGCTGGGTCAAGGATCTTCCCGTTCCCTTCAATTTCAGCATCTGCTCCAGCTCCACCTGAGGGGTACGTGTTTTTAGAAAGGCACATCTTTTGAAAACAGTGGTAGGTCAGGAGGCAATCCAGATCCCCTACAGAACTGTACCCCAGGAAGGAAATGATCTGCCCACGTGCGTGGGGGTCACCCCAATTCAATGGAGCCACTGGGTTCAAGACAGGTCCAGAAACAATACCAGGGCAGACCCACGTGGCATTGCCCGGGGCCACAGTTCTGCCCTCTCTCCTTCCCCTCCATAAACTCTCTCCTCTTCTCCCTATTTTCCTGCCTGGGCTTCATTCCTTCCAGAGAGCTCCACAATACCCACAGATTCTGAAGCCGTTTTCCAAACAAAACACTGGAGTGGATCCATTTGGAATGGGAGTTTGTACTGTACACAGGGTGATTTGTTCTTTCTGCCGAGTGGTTCTCAGCAAGCACTGACTGGAAACTCAAGAGGGGGAAAAAAAGTCAAAGGAAGAAAAATAAAATCAATGGATTCTGTGTAACTAAACCTAACATTTTTCAAGAAGCAAATAAGGATCTTCCTCTGTTCCAGACATCACCCTGGAAGGGCTCTTAACCACTGGGCCACATCCCCAGCCCTTTTTATGTTTTATTTCAAGACAGGGTCTCCCTAAGTTGCTTAGAGTCTCACTAAATTGCTGAGGCTGGCCTTGAACTTTCGATCCTCCTGCCTCAGCCTCCTAAATCGCTGGGATTACAGGTGCGTATCAACCATTGCATCAGCTACAGAACTTGTAAGTAGCATTTCTTGGACTCAAATTATTTAAGGGAAAAAAATTCTTGTGGACATTCCCCTTACTCTTAAGAAATTTCCAAAGATCTCAATTTAAGACAGTTTAATATACAATATTAAGTTCCTACCTATTAGACTAGATGTAAAAGCAGCAACTCATTGAACACTACTATAACTGAAAAATGTCAAATAAGCATTAGAAAGGTGCCTGAGTAATATTAAAGACAGCAGCTTTATGGAGCAAGTACAGTTGTCTAAAAACACATAGAAAATAAACAGAAAAATCAAACAAAATTGGAGAAGGACTTCTCTTCAACAGAGATATTCTCAAATGTGGCATCTAAAATTCAGTTAAGGCTCTCTGTTAGAATAAAAATTAAGACTCTCTTCATCTCTATGAACAACTTTAGTGGCAACCAGGTCTACATGTCACTACTGAAGAAACGCTAAAGGCATTCAACTTACGGGACCATTCTAAGAATTCACTTTTCCTAGCCCTTTGTTTAGGGAGAAAAATCTGTAATTCTCCTTTTGCTAAATACATAAACATCAAATGCATTCACCGGTGAAGGCTGGTTCTTTGGAAGGAACACATGCTATGTTATACCTCATAAACGTATTCCACATGCTGACCCACACTGCCAAAGACTGACACTACCCTTCTAAAGGGGAGTCCAGCAATACTGACCAATGCGACCCTTCAGTGGGTCTAATTTTGACCTACCAATTCTACTTCTAGGAGTTTCTCCTGCTTACATAACCTGGCGTGTGCACATTTTTTTCCCCAAAGTGGCAAAAATTGTCAGGATCCTGAATGTCACTTCCTACCCTGTCACAAGGACTAGTTATTCAAAACTATAATCATGCCACACAATGGAATAATCATGTAGCTATTAAAAATAAGGATATAACCAGGTTTGGTAGTGTACACCTGCAATCCCAGGTACTGGGGTAGGAAGATCTCACATTCAAGGCCAGCTTGGGTGACTTAGGAAGACCCTGCCTCAAAACTGAGTTAAATTAATAAATAGATGGATAGCTGACAATGTAGACCAGTAAGCACTTGCCTGGATATGTGAGACCCTGGATTCCATCCCCAGTACTGGGGTGGGAGGGTAGATATAGATTCCTGTTTATCCATGTCAGAGTGAAAGAAACAAGTTAAAGCAAAGTTTAAAAGTATATTTCTACTAACTATATAAAAATCTCCTTGTGGGCAAGCAGGGCACATACCAAAATAAAAATCAAGGTTATCACTAAGGAGTTTTGTCTTTTTTAGGGGCAGGGGGCACTTAATCACTGAGCCACATCCCTAACCCTTTTTAATTTTTATTTAAATTTTGAGGCAGAGTCTCACTAAGTTGCTTAGGACCTCAATAAGTAGCTGAAGCTGGCTTTGAACTTGTAATCCTCCTGCCTCAGCCTCTTGAGCTGCTGGGATTACAGGTGTGCACCATAGCACCTGACCAAGGAATGAGATTTATAGATCCTATCAATTAAGTTTCTTTCCTTCTGCTACTCATACCTACTTTGCAATTCTTCTCCTGCAGTACTCATGTGTGTAAATTCTAAAAACATCTTGGTTGTGTGTCTGTGGCGAGTAACCTGGATTTTTTTTTTTTTTTTTTTTTTTTTTACCTTTTCAGTCTTTAAAAATCCTGACAACAGGAATCCCCGGGACTCCCTTCCTTTCACACAGGTGGGGGTGGGGGAGGGCTCTTTTTCCATGGGGAAGGAAGAGAACAGTCCATGTTAGGATTTCTGCCACACTATCCACCACCTGTGTTCCCTGAACAACATCAAGGTCAACCCCATCATAGTCACCTGCTAGTTTATTTTAGAAACACAGAAACCATTACTGAATCACCATAGAAAGGTCACTGGAACACTGAGGAAAGGTTAGTTAAGGTCATCGAGCTCTGATCACATCATGTGATAATGAATCCAGGCTCCTGAAAATAATAAACAACCAAGCTTTAAAAGACAGTGAAGATCTGTCAGTCCTCTGGTTCTCCTTATCAAAGGTACGGCTTAATCTAAGTGATCATTTGTCCTAATCCAAATAACGTAGGTGCCTGTTTCTTGGGGACAGGTGGACGGCTTTAGGGAGCTCCTGCTTCAGGAGGAATTCGGTGATGCAAGGGCCTGGGAAGCTCATTTTCCCAAGAGTCTTCTGGGAAATCATGACCCAAAGACAACATCCAGTTCTTTCTGCAGAGGGAGCAAATGCCGGGACCAGCCACTAGATGTCATTCTCCTTCAAAGGGCTGTTGGTGCTGCTTTTCCTGGTCAAAAGGAAGTCAAGTGGTCTAGACAACCAATTCCTTAAATGGCATTAATTTAAAATAATCTGACCTCTGACTGGGATACTGCACAGCAGTGGACAAAAATAAAAATGAAGGCCGAAGGCAAGTGGCTGCCCCCAAACATAGCCCTTTTAATGACTATACCGAAACATAATGACTTTCAGACAACAGGAGGACAGTTCCAGGGACCTACACAAAATCCAGCACAGACCAACACGCAGGGCCTGGAAAAGTCACACGGGTAACCCTCATTCGGGGGAAGACGTGGTCTTCTTTGACTTCAAAATACAAACAGCCTGGAAGATCCTCAACTCTCTCTCAAAGTTCCTGATCACCTGAAGGACCAGATGGGTTTTTTCCCCTACCTTTACTACTTATTTCACGATCCACTGGCAGAAAAGGAACATCAAAAGGAATTACTGATAAAACACAGCCTGAAGATGACAGGCTGGGGCTCAGTGGTAGAGCATTTGCCTAGCATTATGTGAAGAACTGGGTTCAATCCTCAGCACCCCATAAAAATAAATAAATAAAGGTATTGTGTCCACCTACAACTAAAAAGTATATTTAAAAAAAAAAAAAAAAAAAGATCACCAGTGGCAAATGAGACTCCACCATCCCATTCGGCCTGAGCCATTTTGGGATTGGTGTTGAGTGCACATTTTCAGCTTTAATTGAATCAGCTGCCAACATGTTTTCTAAATGGAGGTCTTAAACGTAAAAGCATGGATTCCCACACAGTCACCGCAGGGAGAGAGAACTGCCCCCTCTAGACCCGCACACAGGCTCCCTCCGTGGGCAACAGTGCCATCCAACCCCCTTTCTCCCCGCTGGTCTCCTGCTTGGCCAAGAGGGACACAAATCTGCACCCCCTGCTGAAAAAGTGTAGAAGAGAAAGAGTTGGAGGTACACGAAGGTGACCTCGTGGAACAGAACGATCTTTAGAGAAGCAAACGCTCAAGACACGCAGAACTTCTACAGAGACGCCCCCTACACCCAACAGCTCTCTCCTAAGTGACATGCAAGGACAATTTCCTACCCACTATTCCCAGCATAGACTTCAGGGGGATTCTGCACGGGGACAAGGACTGCAAGAGGAGAAGGATGCTACTCCTACAACAGAAGCCAGGCACGGTGCCCGCCATCAGAGGCTAGCCGAGGCTCAGATCTATCCAAGGAATTGCCACTCATGCTGTTTAAGTGCAGGGCTGGCTGGACATTCACTTAAGTTAAAAGGTGTCTGTGACCGTCTTAATCTAGCACCTCACTCCACTTTACACAAAGATAAAATCTTGTGTAGTTTGATTAACACTGTTAATAGATTTTACAAAAGGGCAAGTACTATTGGACAAAGGAAAATGTCACTTTGAATTCTTCGTAGTGCTTCTGAGAGCTGCTGGCCCTTTTGGAAAAATCACAACACAGGTAACATGCGTTCTGCATAACTAGGACTGGGTACCTGCAGCGTGCAGAAATAGACGCAGGGCCAGATTCCCTCATGTCTTCTAGAATCGTTGTCCTGAGCATTAGGTATCCAAATTTTTATGCAATTTATTCTTTTCCTTTTATTTGTCCTCTATAACTGACTTTTTAAAGTTTAGCATTATGAACTGTATCACAGATTCAGAAAGTTATCTATTTCCTGTGAATAGGGAGCAATGGGCGTGTGGAAATTAAGTCCACGAAATACCATCACTGCTATAAGGATGATGCTGTTCTTGAAGCGTTCAGAGCAGTGTCTAGTCTCCTGGGTCTCACCTCCTGTGTCTTCTTCTCCCCTCTCACTCCCACAGTCATCTCAGGCTCAGGTTCACGAGTCCCTTCCTTGTCCCCCTAGGAAGCCCTCCCTGACCACTGAACCGCACCTCCTCATCCAGCAAAGCCAGACTGTGGTACCCTTTCTGTGTGCTTTCCCTCCCTCAGGTGGTCTGCCCTGCAGAATGGCCTCTGTCACACTGTCATTACCTGATTTCCCCTCTTTGGGGCTGGGGCCCAGGGCCTGGTGCCTCCTCGGCCGGTGCTCTACCACAGAGCTACACCTGCAGCCCACCCCTTGACCCCTTCTTCTCTAAGGAGCTCCTAGAGGGCTGAGACTGTCACTATTCTGTCACCAGCACCCAACACAGTGCTCACCCACTCAACAACTGTTTCCAAAGCTCTGACTACGCGACAGGCACTGTCCTATCAAGTCAACAAACAGGGAAGTGACCGTGCACAAGACAGACGATGCCCCCGACCTTGTAGAGCTGCTGTTCTAATGAGTGACCGATAATTAAAAAATGATTAAAAGTAACTACAGCCTATGATCAGCGCTGGGGATGGTATAAACAGAGAGGAAAACAGGCAGGTCATATCTTAGACTGGCAGGGGTGGCTTGCCAAGATGAGAGGCACAGTGAGTCAGGAAGGATGCAAGGTCCCCGCTCAAGAGAAGCCAGGAGACGCTTTCTCCCAACAGGACACACTGTGGGTGCAAAGGTCAAGCGACTGGTATAATCCTGGGGTGTTCAAAAAAAGAAAAAAAAAATGAACTAAATCTCATCTGTCAGCAACTCAATAAGGCCCTAAGCAACTTAGGAAGGCTGTGTCTCAAAACTTAAAAAAGTAAAAGGGCCTGGGGATGGGGCTCAGTGGTTCAGCATCCCTGGGTTCAAATCAATCAAGTCTGGCTGGAGGGCAGTTCAGAAGCTTTGGAGGGTCAAGCAGGGTCTGGGCATGTGGTCTTGCAAATCACAAGAAGTGTGCACTTATCTTTGGTGCAATGCATGTCCTCAGGCAGGGGCTTCAGCTTACTGAGCCTAGGTACCTGGGCTCTCACTCCTCCTGGATGACCGCCTCGTGAGACAGCAGGTGCTGAATGAAGAGGACAAACCTCCACCCAGCCCCTACCTTAGTGAATGCCGCTGGCTAGGCCACTGTCCTATCAAGTCACAAACAGGGCAGGCGGACCTAGGGGACCTGGCAAGGTCCTTGGTGCTCACGGCTACTCTACTGAGGCCCATCACCTCTATTCACTCACCTATTTGAAGGCCTACTATGCGTTACTATGCTGTAGGCACAAGGGACACACAGCAACAAGCAAAATGCCGCATGCTGGTTATTTCCTTGGCAGGGATGGACAACCAGGGAATGAAGCACATTAGGAAGACCACAGGGACGTGGAGAAGAACATGATGACAGATGACAAGCAGGAGCTGGGTGGCAATTTCAACACCACAATAATGGATGTCCATCCAACCCGCCTTCTAAACATCTAGAACTTCCACACAGATTACCCTCTGAGCGCCGGGTACTAAAGAAATCATGTCAAGAGAAACAGGCTCAGAGAGTTACAGAAACTTGCTGTAGTCACACAGCACAATAGCAGTGGCATAAGCACATTGCTTAGGTGACAAATTGGATAAATATAATGATAAAAGTCAAAATTTAGTAAGCATCATTCATGTGCCTTTTATGTCACTTTTCCTATAATCCTCAGGTCATCCACCTGAGGCATACATTACCATCATCCCCAGTTTACAGGTAAGGAACAGAGTTGGAAAATAGCTGTGAGACTTGCTCAAGATCGCATTCATGATCTTGTGCTGGTAGCCATTCTACTGCCCAAAGCTGCCCGTGAAAGGGGATGGCTGGGCCAGAGTGGCTCCCAGACATCTCAAGAGGGCTACAATGAGCCTCTCCTCCGGGTCCTCTCCCTCGTACCCCTTTTACAAAGGAATATAAGAAAGCCAGAAGCTGGAGAGGAGGGTTGAGCCAGGTGCCAGCCCTTGTGCTCGGGCACCACCCAGGGACCGGTCAAGGTCACCATCACCCACAGCCCGGCCATCCCAATACCTACGTGCAGTTTGTTCAGCAGCACTGCGTCGGTTGTGCTGTTGGCCCCTGGCTTGGCAGCTTTCCAGAACTGCTTCTGGGCCGAGTAGCGATTCATAGGACACAGCTTGAAGAGGCAGTCTAGGAGCAAAGTGACAAAGGGCAATGGTTACCATGGAGGCCCAGAGGCGACCCAAGGACCCAGGCTTCCCACCTGCACTGACGTAGGGTATCATCACCTACGCTGCTCTTCAGGAATGCTGAAAAACCCCTCTACATAGCTCTCTTTTAAATTCTCACCACCACAGTGTGAGGTCACAGATTAGGAAACTGAGGTTCACAGAGAGGAAGTCAATCGTCCCTTGTCACAGAGCCACTAGCACAGCTGGGCTCCATGTCCAAATCCAGTGTTCTTAATAACCCCCTCCCCCCATCTGCTTCACTTCTTAGTGGAAAAACAGAAGGACAGCCAATCCTCACTGCACAAACCAGTCTCTTTGGTGCCCCTAGCTTCATTTGGCCTAGGCCTCCTGGGACAGAGTGTCGGTTAAGAGGACCCCTGGGGTGCAGAGCAAAAACACTTCCCTCCCTTGAGACAGAGTGTGCCCTTGCTGACCCTCATTATCAATATCCTGATGTGCTTCTGCTCAGGGTGCCTGGGCTCATGTGACTTTGTACCGTGTCTTAGGCAGCACAGCCAACTCCTGCAGCATGGACCAGTGGCTTCCAAAGATTTATGTGAAGAAAGCGAAACATCAGGGCTAAGGTGGTGGCTCAGTGGTAAAGTGCTTGCCTAGCATGTGTGAGGCCCTGGGTTCCATCCTCAGCAATGCATACAAATTGATAAAATAAAGGTCCATTGACAACTAAAAAATATTTTTTTTTAAAACAGTAAAACATCAAAGATAGGAGGGGTACAAGCCCAAAAAATAAGAAAAAGCAGAACTGAGCCCAGTTTTCTGCAGCCACTCAAAAGGTAAAAATAATGATGATCTAATCAGATCTGAATAGAAGTCACCCAGAAATTAAAAATCACCATTTAAGACCCTGTCTTTAATGACGAACTCTATCCTTCTTATCGCATGTGTGTGAAGTATCAATGGGCATGCGGTCTTGCAAATCACCATGGTGAACCCCACTCTGCCTCACTAGTTTTATAATGTGTACAATATACTAGGGCAATAATATGGATATGTGGCTTTAAAAGTACATACACACACTCACACACACATACACAGAGTTGAGGACTATGTTCACCCAAATTTGGGATGGAGATTTAAAAAAAACAAAAAAAACAGTGGGTTGGGGGTTTATTCCAGTGGTCCAGCAATGCTCAGCACACATGAGGCTCTGGCTCAATCCCAGCACAGAATAAAACAAAGCAAAACGAAAATACGTCCAGAAATAATTTCCCGAGAAAACTAATATCCAAAATTGACACTTGCCTCCTGAAGAGCTTACACTTTTACATCCTGGGTTTTTGAATGGTTAAGTATTTGTAGAGTAAAATTAATAAATTTCAAGCAAATACTCAGATTTGGAAAAACTGCACCTTGAAAACAGGTCAGAACTACCCACAGGACTTCTCTGCTCATTATGAAAGATTGTCCTTGAGGACCTTTCACAGGTTAATACCTAGCTATTGTTCCAGACAAGTAAATATCTGAGAATTAGAGAAATCCATTTGCTGTCAAGTTCATCAACACTAAGACTTTCCTTCTACTCCAGATGGCTCCTCCTTCCAGTCATGATCAATGAACTGTTAACCACGTGCTCCAGGACCAAATTCTCAACAGTATTCAGGAAAACAGTGAAATAGCACCTAACTGTAGCAGCAAAAGGTACTTCCTCTATGGCTATCATCTCCTTCATCAACTCAGGATCTCCACCTAGTCAGGGCAGTCATAAAATATAGGAACGCTGATATTCATCTTTATCAGAAACCTGATCCATCTACTCCAAGTAATTTTCAATGCATATGAAAGATACTGGCTAGTTCTTGGGAAAACAAAGGATATGGCAGAAAAAAAAAAACAGTTTAAAAGTCGGGCTGCTCCGTCTCTTCTGAAAACCACAGGTCATGGTCATTTACTGTCTCAGTGGAAACTTGACTACAGAGATTTTCTACCAACCTGATGAGTATGAACGTCCATAATAACCACAAACCATGAGACCATTGGCCAGAATGCCCCATCTTTGACACAGGGCCCAGGGTGTCATCTGGACTGGACCGGGATAACTTCTTTAATAACTAGATGTCTTTGTTTAAAAGATGTCGCCAGCCCTGTCATTTGACATATTGCTTACCTTGTGGACCAAATGGAGCTAACGATGTCAATCTTCATCAATAGTAAGACATGGAGAATACAATGACCTATTTTTCCCCTTCTAACCTATTCTCAGACTGATAGCTAACTGCTCTGCATTCCAACAAGGAAAAAAAAAATTGACTTAAGTGGATTTGGGGAAGAGACAGGCTGGATCTACAAGGGTGAGGGGAACATGGTCCAGGAAGCACTACTTTCCAACTGTGCACGTCACTCCCAAGCTGGGCCCCTTGCTTAATAACGGGTGACAATACAAGTACAGAACTTCAGGTAACTCCTCGGTCCCTTAAGGTGAGCGAGTAGATTGAAAGCACCATCAATCCAAACAAAGCCTCGATATAGCTTCTGCACCAACTATTTTCCTTGAACAGAACAGAGACCTGCATTGGCTAAAGTGTATTTACAACCGTCTATGTAAATATAAGAGATGCTAACATACTAGTAACAGAACCAAATTAGCCTTGCTGATTTTGCCCTGTCTTCCTGGTTGCTTAGCAACAGATTCAAAGTGAAAATTAAATTAAGCAATTCAAATGTAATGTTAAAGTAACCTTCCGAAATTCTGCAATTCAGCAGCTCCATGAGGCCCTTTGCTATTTGGATGGTACAGCGGGGCAAAATTGAAAGTTTGGCTGGGTCCTAATAGTGCACTAGATATTGAAATGCACAAATAGAGGAAATCCAGAAGTCTACATATAATATCTTTGTGGAAGAAGGTGAACGCGTACATTTATGTGTGCAAGCGTGCATGCACACTGTGGTTTGGTCTCATCCCAAAAAAATGCCACAAAGGAAATCTTATGTGACAGGTGTTATTTTGGGGCCTTTGAGGAATAAACTAAACTTAGCTTTCAAGAAACTACTTTGGAATGTTCTAAAGCTTTAGCGTATGCCGCATTCAGTGAGCAGATAGAATTCAGCTGAATAGAGGGGATGGGCTGCATGTTCAAGGGGCCACAGGCAATCTGCCATGGTGAAAGTTGCATTCTAAAACTCTCCTAGCTGCTGAGAAAGGAGTTAACTATCAAATAGGGACTGGTGTGTACAGTGAGGAGCAGATGAGAGCAAGAGGAGCCACAGTGTGCCTCGAACACCCTGGGATAGAACAGAAGGAGGCAAGGTCACAGAACGTGAGCAGCCCTTGAGAGGCGTCCAGGTCTGAATCTCTCAGAGAATGAAGGCTGCCCAGGGTGAACCCTGCATCTCCACACCATCCTCTCTATCTCTACTACTCTGCACTCCTGAGCCCAGGTTCCTGGGGCCAGGGTCTCAGAGGTTAGGCAGGACAGCAGGAACCCAACCAAGGTGCTGAACTCATGATCCCTGGGGCCCCTGAAGCAATGGCAGACAGGTCCTCTGGAGCCAGTTCTGGCTCTCAGCTTCCAGGATTCTCTTCACAGATTTGATTTCTGATTATCGAAATGCCTCGTGTGTGCAAGCTCAGCCCTGGATGCTCAAGGTAGAACACTGAACCTGTCGCACAAACTTCTTAACACAATCCTGGTGACACACACTCGAGTCCAATACATGAGCTGAATTGGGGCAGATTCAAATTTCTGCAGAAGCAAGAACCATCTCTGGACACAGTATGCCTGGGGTGGAGGCAGCCCACAGCAGGGGTACTACGGGAAGCATCTGAGACTGAATGCAGAGCTGAAGGACAGCAAGGAGGAGTCAGCCTGGAGGAAAACCTGGGGGCAAAGCCTTCCAGGTAGAGAGAAAAGCAAATGCAAAGGCCCTGGGCTGGGGAGAAAAAAACCTGACAGTGGCAAAAGAATAGAAAATTGAGGCTGGAGGATAATGAGGGAAAGCTGTGACTGCAGAAGCAGATGGATAAAGCCTCACGCAGGGTGCACAGGCCTGGGAAGCCATCTGAGTCATTCAAAGCAGAGGGATGCCACTCAAGGATTCTAAGCAAAGGACGGACTTGCTCTGGCTCACGTTTCCAAGGGAGCTTTCTCATCGCTGACGGCACCCAGCAAGAAAGGAAAGGCTGGGGAGGAGCAGGGCTGGGGGAGAGCGACAGAAGCCAATCATTTCATTTTGGCTCTGCTCAGTTGGCGCTGCTCATGAAGCATTCATGCTGACTGAGGACCAGGCCAACCATCCAGAGACAGGCCAAAAACACAGAACAGCCGGGTATCAAAAGGTGCCAGGGGGCCAGGCACGGTTGTGCACACCCGTGATCCCAGCGACTCGGGAGGCTGAGGCAGGGGGATCGCAAGTTCAAAGCCAGCCTCAGCAATTAGCAAGGGTCTATCTCAAAATATAAAATAAAAAGGACAGAGGGTTTGGCTCAGCAGTTAAGGACCCTTGGTACTCCCCAGTTAAGTACTCTGGGTACTCTCCGCCCCCAAAAAGATCAGGAGGCTAAGGCAGGAGGATCACAAGTTTGAGAGTAGAAATTAAAGAAAAATTACAAGAAAATTTCCTGGAACCAGAGATGACTCTCCTAGGTAGGAAAAAACAAAACAAAACAAAACCCCCACTAACTCCCCAGAACTGAATGAAGTTAATTCTCCACTTGGAATTCTGAGATGTGTTCAATGGGTGACCTCATGTGGGAGAAGAATCAAGTCAAGTCTGCAGTCAGGAAGCAGCTAAAGGCCGCCCTCCACCAAACACAGAGAAGACATTTCTTCAGTCCTTTGGTCAACAAAGAGGTGGCACTGGCCTAGTCCTGCTCTGCGGCAGAGATAGGAGGCTAAATTCTGGTCACCAATGTCACAATTGAGGGAAGTCCTATGATGATGCTGGGCAGGGCCTCTCGATGCCACAACCTGGAGCACAGGTACAAAAGTCTTCAGGGACAGA